AAAAAAAAAAAACAGCCAGCCAGCCAGATAGCATCAGTTTGGTAATACCCATCTTTTGAATGTGAAGGAAAGATTCTCTCCCCGAAAGTCCAGTTTCCTATCGACAAACGACGAGCAAAATAAAAAAAAATACTGATAGTGATGATCAGAAACAAACAGAGAAAAACAAAGAAGAAGAAGAAGACAGATTAATCTTTGATTAATTCTTTTCGTTCGTTTCGTTTCTTTTTCTTCAATTCATTCGAAGCATCAATTCTAGGCATCAAGAATGTTTTTTTCTTTGCCCGAATTTCCTTCACAGATATTTAATCACAAGCGAAAAAGAAGAATTTAGTAAATTTACTTTTTTTTTCGGGATTTTTTCGTTTTTTCATTTTTCATTAATCGACAAATCGGGGGAAGGCTTTACAGGGCTGATTTCTTTGGCCATCTTTGCCACCACCACCATGATGGTAGCTAAATCAAACAAAAAACCAAGAAGTTTTTTCTCATTTATTTTTTGTTTGTATTTTTCATTTTCCATTTTCGTTCGGGTGATTCTCGATTCTTGATTCTTGATTCTTTGTCTTAGCTGCTGCTGCTGTAGTAAAGACTTCTACAGTGAATCTATGTTTATTTATTGAATAAGCAAAAAAAGAAAAATTATTAATTGAAAAGTTATACAAGAGACAAACCGGTACATCATCAGAATTAAATGTAACATTTTTTCTTTTTGCTTTTGGCTGATCTGTTTGTTTGTTTGTTTGTTTGATTCAATGTTTGGTTTTGTATCTGGGTTTCGTGATCGAACATCTCGCATCATAACGGTATTTATTTCATTTTTGGGCCACCATTTTGTTTGTTTGTTTGTTTGCAAACAGGAAAAAACAAACAAAACAAACAAGCAAAAGTCAAATGTGAAATAAGAAACGAGCATTTTGTTGGGCGAAAAAAAAACGGATAACCGAACTGATCATCTGATAATCTTTGTGTATTTCTTTTGCCTTGGCTCTCAGGATTATCATCCAGGAAACGCACACTTGCACATTGTCAAATGCACACTTGCACACTTGCACCAAACAACATCAGATCCGAGATTGAATATTCATACATTGGGATTAATCATTGATTTTCTTCTTTTGCTTTGTTTTTTTCCCCATTGAATGTACTTTTGAATTAATAAGATCAAAATAAAGCAAACAATCAATCTTTCAATAAATAATAAAATTTTTTTTAATGAATAATTTCGTTTTCTGATTCCTGATTCATCAGAAAATTCGTTACAAGCCATGTGATTAAAATGGGATTTTTTTGGGTGCATTTTCAAATCAATTGACGAGAAAGAAAAAAAGAAACGAGCAAACCTCCAAATGAAGACATGTAAAATTGTAATCATTATCAACAACCAAACAAACAAACTCAACCAGTCCAAACTACCATTTATTTATTTTTGTCCAATTCAGACTAGTCCGGGGTTATTTGTTTGTTTTGTTTCATACACAAAAAAAAATATCGTGACAGTTGAATCCTACATATAGACAACAACAACGAGAAAAAAAGAATGAAAAATTCTCTGTTATTAGATTGAATTGGACAAGGATAAATTATTATCCAAACAAAACAAAACGAAAAAATGATGGATTGAAAAATGCAATGCAGCGAAGCTTACTTTTTCTTCTTTCTTGGTCATCATTATCATCATATATGGTGGATTAGCAATTTTCTGTTTCTGTTTGTCGGTGACCGACCGACTAACAGAAATTTTTCCACCAATCAACCAGATCAACCAGAAAACCAATTATATTATAATGGATGGTATACGAATGAATAATAGATTTTCTTTTCCAAGGTTTTTTTACCTTGCAATTTTTACCTTGCTAAATTCAGTTTGCTTTCTTTCCCGAACATTTACGAAATAGAAAATCAATTAGACAATGAACGAAGAAATTCATGAAAAATCGGTTTTAAATAATTTTTTTCTGTTCGGGTGGAAAACAAAAGTTTGGGAAATTTTCCCGAAACAATAGCAACAAAACTTTTTTTTTCTGGAAAAAATTTCCAAGATCGGTAAGACAACAACCTTGGCAAGAAGAAATCGGATAATAATTTTCAAGTTTCGCTTTCTTCTCGAATGTTTTTCCCAATGATAAATGTTTTATGATGTTTTTTGATTCTCATCATCATGCTGATGATGAGAAAGAAAGATGAAATCTCTCTCGCAAAAAAAAAAATGAAAACTTTTTTTTCTGTTCTTCCTGAAACTTCTTTATTCAAAAACAGAACAGAGCAGAACAATAGACTTTATTTTTGAATTTGAAAAACAGAAAAAAGTGATCCAAAATCGATAAAAATTGGGAAAAATTCTGATTCTTGCTTGCAAACAAAATTAACCAATCACTACCATTGTTTTCGTTCGGTCGGTCGGTCTTTCAATGTCTTCGCTGCTTCGTTTCCACATCCTAATGAATATCGGATGAAACAAACAAACAAAACGAAAAAACGAATTATCTTCCGGAACATTTCTAGTTGACGATGATGAACGAACCAAATGGCAAACCATTTTGCCATCAAAAATCTGTATTTTTCAACTTTTTTTACGACACCAGCAACGAAAAAAATAGATAAATGTCTACAGTGTACCATTACACACACTTTATTCGCCAATTAATTCATGAAAACAAACAAACAACCGAACAAACAGTAGCATAATTGTTAAACATAAAAACATCGTTTGCATCCATTGATAATGATAATAATAATGGGCAATAATATTGTTCGTTTAATGATGCTTATAATGTAATAATAATAATATTAGTTGTAAATTAGTTGTTGTTGTTTTACATTTACAAATAACAACAACAACTATCGATATCAACAACAACAACAACTATCGACAAGCAACTTTGATGGGTGACATTTTTTGCTTTGTTTTTTGATTTTGATTACATCACCATCATTATAGTCATTTGAAAATTTTTTTTATAGTTTTAATCAACGAACCGAAGAAAGAAAACAAATGTAATTTTGAATTTTTCTTATAAGAAAATTACTTAATCATTTTGAATTTTTTGGCGCGTAAATTTCCTTCATCAAACAAACAAACGAAAAACAAAAAAATCATTTTTGAATTCAAACAAAATCAAGAATCAAACAACAACAACATTCATCAATTCATTTCTTCAATTTATTTGTTTCACTTGGTGCACACAACCAAAGAAAAAAACAACAAAAGAAAATTTGTCATCATTTATTAATACGACAAACAAGCCAAAAAACAAAAAGAAAAATGAATGAATGAAAAATGTGAAGAGAGAAAAAAGATTGATACGAATAAATTCTGTACAGGAATACATGTATGGTGTGTATAAACAACAATTTTTGTCGGCCATGTGTGGATGGATCCAAAGAAAATGAATTTTTTTGAAACAAAGTTTGACATTTTTTGCTGCCAAAATACAGAATTGAAACAAAAAACACAGAATTCATATAATCAGTTCATGTTTGTGTGTGTGTGTGTGTGTGTGTGTTCTATGTAATTAATCATCAGATAGAGCTAGTGAATGAAAGAAAAAAAAATACAAAAAAAAAAAAAAAAAAGGAGAAAAGTAACTGTGTGTGTTTGGACACAAAATCATTATTCATAATATTTTGGCTATTTCGACAATGAATGGCCCCCGGAAATTGATGAAAATAGTGTGCGAGTGAGTTTGTTTTCGTTGTTTATGTTGTTGTTGTTTTTTATGCAAAAGTAATAATAAGAAAAAATACAAATTTCTGTTTTTTAAGAAAATAATAATTCATTTAACGTCTTGAATGTGATGATGAGGATGATGATGATTTTTTATCACTTGAATTTTTATTCTTTGTTGTTGTTGATGATGATGATGAATGTTTAAATGAAATTGGATCAATAGCCGATTTGATTTTCTTTTTTACTATTGAAAATTTTACAGATGATAATTTACCTGAATCATTTTGTTCATCGCCGCTACTACCACCATCACCACCATTGCTATTATTATCTTCTTCTGCGGAACTTTCTGAATGTGAACGTTTACGATGTGAACGTTTTGATTTTGTTGTTGTTGTCGATGTTGTCAAAGATGTCGATGATGATGAATGATGACGTTTCTCTTCTTTATCACGTTTTTTATCCTTTGATGATGATGATGATTTAGATTTGGATGATGAATCCATTTTATCCTTTGAATCTTTATCTTTATTTTTCGATGATGATGATGATGAATGATGATGAGAGTGACGATCTTTTTTATCTGATCGATCTTTTTTCTTATCTTTTGAACGTTCTTTATCTTTTTTATGTCGATGTTCCGAAGAAGAATCATGTTTCGATAACTTCGATGATGAAGATGATTCACTTTTAACACTTTCTTTTGATTTTTCTTTTAAACTTATTTTTGATTTAAGTTTTGCAGATGATTCTTTCGAATGTTCATTATCATTATCACGTGATGAACGTTTTTGTTTTTGTTGTCCAATTGAAAATGATACTAATAATTTACCTTGTTCATTTGTTTGTATTACTTTCGAATGTTTACGGCCACTACCAACAACATTATCATCGTTAACACCATCGTCGTTCATATTTTTAACACCATCACCATCAACGATCGAATCATCCGAAAGTTTTTTATTCGCTTTAATAATTTTACGTTTGTCATTCTGTTCTGATCGATTCAATGTTTCACCGATATGATCAGCAGCAATTGTAACAGCAGAACTACTAGCGGCCTTATTCACAACATTATCTTCACTTTCTAAATCGCTATAATCTTCTTGTATTTTTATTTCAACATCATCTTGATCAATTTTATTTTTCGGCAATTCTTTGTTGTTACTTGTAGTCGTCGTCTTTATTTTATTTACAAATGATATTTTCTTAGATGATACTACCGATATTGGTGGAGGCGGTAATAAATCTTCTTCCAATAAATCTAGATTAATTAGAAAACATACATACACAAAAAAGCAAATATAATTAATATAAAGTTTTTACAACTTGTAATTTGTTTTTCTCTGTGTGTTTATGTTCAATGTGTATATATTTTTGTAAAAAGAAAATTTTTTAAGCTTACTTTTTTTGTTAATAACAGTACCGAAATCTTCTTCTTCTTTATCTTGTTGTTGCTGTTCATGTTGTACTTTTTCTATTTGTCCAACAGATAATTCTTTCATTTGTTCAACATTATTAATCGAATGTTCGGGGGTTTTTTCTTCTTTTTGAACATCACTTGATAGTTGTTGTTGTTGTTGTTCATCGTTACATTGTTCTTCTTCATTATTTTCCTTTTCTGTTAAAGTTTTCTTTTGAGTATTATTATTATTTTCCAATGCCATAATATCGATTACATTATCAGTAAAAGTAACAGAAGAGGGGACCAAAGTATTATTTTCTTCTTCTTTTTCCTTAATCTTTGATTCATCATCATCATCATCTTTACTTGATCTTTTCGAACGTTTACTACTGCTGCTGCTACCCTTATTCTCATCTTGTTTTGTCAATGATGATGATTTAGCAGTGGAATTTTTCAAAGATTTTTCATTTTTTGATGATGATGATGATTTTGATTTACTTTGATGTTGATGATGGCCATGATAATCAGATGATGATTTTAAAGTTGATTTCGAATGATGTTTAGTTGATTTATTTTTCGAATGTTTACTATTTCGATCACGATGATGTTCGGATTTTGTTGATGTTTCGATTCGATTTTTTGAATCTTTTTTTCGATCATCATCACCATCATGATGGTTTCTTGATTTTTTCTTTGATTTAATTTCTTTCGATTCCGGTATTGATTCAGCATTCGATGTTGTTGATGAAGCACCATCATCGTCGTCGTCGTCGTCGGATGAAGAAGATGATGAAGAACTGTCATCATCACTACTACTTGAGCTACTTTCACTACTACTACTTGATTCACTATGATGACTTCGGCTTTTTTTCTTTTTCTTCTGACTGGTAATCGATGATGATGATTTTCCTTTTGATCTATGGCTAGTTCGAGAACCATGAATTGTCTTGCCTGTAATCGATTTTGATTCTTTGATTGGTTTTTCGTCATCATCATCCAGATCATCCTCATTACCCGAATCATTTTGGCGTTTATCATCATCTTGTTGTTGCTCATTTTTGTCATCATCATCATCTTGTAATTTAATATCGATCAAATTGGATTCTAGACAGGATAGAAATGAACAAAAAAAGTTAAAATAAAACACATATTTTTCCCAAATTATGATTTTTGAAACACAAACAAACCTTTCGGTCGAATATAATCAAAATTATTTGAATCAAATTCATTCATCATTCGTCTATCTAGATCGATCATTCTTTGATTATCATCATCATCATCATATTCATTACGGTTACGTTTTCGTCTATGATGTTGATGATCATCATCGATAGAATGATCCGGATGATCATATTTATTATTATGTTGTGATGATGATGATCGATGTTGTTTTATCGTTAAAGATGATTCATCTTTGTCAGCAATTGCTGCAGTTCGACTGGAATGATAAGAAGATTCACGTTTCGAGCGTGTACCAGATGATGATGATGACTTATGGCGACTGTCATCATTATGAATTTTATCATGATGATCACCACCACTACGATAATGTTGTTGTTCACGGTTTCTTTGTTCTTCATATTCACCTCTAAACAAAAAAAAAAAGGAAAAATTCCATCATTTTTTTTCATATGAAAAAAATGCTTATTCTGTAAGAATATTCTGTTCAATCAAACACACACACACAAACCTTTTATCATATTTTGAATAAGAACGTGAACGAGATCTTTGTCGATTACTATCTTCGTTACTACCACCACTTCTATTCTGTCGATGGCTGCTGCTGATGGATGGATTGTTGCCGACATGATATGATGATGATGATTTACTACCACCACCTACAACATTCGATCCATATCTATTATGATAATGTGATGATGATGGTGAACGTGATGATCGATGTGTTTGTGATGATCGTTGACGATCACTATGATCACGATGATGACTACGACGATCATCATCTCGATTTCTTGATTCATATTGTTCACGTGATGTTGAACGTTTAGAACGATGATGATGATGACGACGATTTGTATTTGATGATGGTGATCGATTTGAACGTATACTTGATGGTGATGAACCTCTTGATGATATTGATCGTGAACGTGAACGACGATTACGTTGACGTTGTTGTTGTTGATGATGATGATGATGACTAGAAGATGGTGAACGTGAACGACTACGTCTTCGATTATCAATTATTGATCGTCCAGAACGATCACGATCATCATAACGTGAACGACTTCGAGATTCAAGTTGTCGATTAAAACGTTCTAATTGATCTTCATAATCATCATATTTACGCGATGATGATGATGATGATGAATAATAATGATGAGGATGATTATCCATTAATGAACGACTACCGTTTAATGCAGCAGCTGTTAATGGATCAAGACCATTTGGTCCATATGGAATATGTAATGGATTCAACGAACCCATACGATTATTTAAACCATACATTGTATTATCATATAATGGATTACGATGAATTTGTCCGGCAAAAAATGCTGGTAATGGTGGTGGTGGTGGTATTGGTGGTAAACCCATTTGACTTAAACCAGGTGGTAATGGAACTGGTGGTGGTGGAAATGGAACTGTTGATGCACCTGTAGCAGTAGTCGAATTATCTGATGATTGTAATAGATTACGATTCTGTTGATGTGATGATAATCGTGGTGGTAATGGTAACATTCCATGTGGTCGTGGTAATATTGATGGTTGGACACGATTATGTGATCGTATACCCATATGCATATGATTCTAGCGAAAAAAAATTGAAGATTTGAATGATGATTATGATAATGGGGAGAAGGGAGAAGTTATTAAAAAAAACTCACCCGAAATCGATTATTTGAAAAATTTGAATGAAATTGACCAAAAATATGTGGCGGTGGTGGTAATACATTACCACCACCAATCACAGTTAATTGATTTGATCCAATTCTATTCGTCGACGATGATGACGTCGACAACAACGCTGACGACGATGCTGTTGATGAGGATGATGATTCCGAATCAGTACGGCTAGTGGTTGGTATTGGATTTCTATCACTACTGCTATAATGGAAATTTGAACAGCGAACAAAAATTAAATTTCAATTTCAAAACTTTCAAAAAATTCTTTTCAACCACATACCTTTTTCTTTCAACAACAACATCATTATTATCGGTAATTTTTTCACTTTCATCATCTTTTTGATCACCATCTCGATGATCACCATCATTATCCGCTAAAAGTTTTTCATTATCATCATCATCATCATCAACAATTTCATCATTCTTAACCATTATTGATTCATCATTATTATCGTTAATATCATTATTATTATTTTGATTGTCATCATCATCATCATTAGTAATACTAGTTGTTGTTTTGCCATCATCATCATTATCATTATCGATTTTTTCGATTTTTACATTGTTCGCATCATCGTTATTATCAACATCTTTTTCCGTATCATTTGAACATTCTTGATCAGAATTTTCATTTTTTATTCGATTTTCGCCATCATCTTCTTGAGCATCTTTTTGAACATCCTTTTGAACATTTCCATCATCCATTTTACTGTCATTTGTTTGATCCGCTTTAACCATTCTACTCGTAAATCCAGTTTCCTTACGAAATTTATCCACTGATAAACGTAAAAAACGATTCGGTATAAGATTATCCGGTGAAACATTTTGTTCATGACAACTTGGACATTCATGATTATCCGATTCCAATAATAATAATCGTATGCCTAGAATTTTTTTTCAAAAAACAAAATTTTTTTTGAAAAACAACGAAAAAAAGAGAAAAAAAAAGATCATTATAAATATGGAGAAAACTGGTAAAACAAACAAAAAAAACATAAAGGAAATAAGTTGAAAAAAATATTTGATAAAAACTTTGCGATGTTTTTTTCAGATTTTTGGTTGATGCTTATACAAACCGCATTTTTTACTTTATGAAATTCTGGAAAGGAAAGTTTGATTAGTTGTGTTTGGTTGAAGTTTTTCATCATCATTTTTTTTTTGTCAATTTGTTATCATTATTTTTTATTCGTCAATTCTTTTCATGTCATCATGTTTTTGGTCGCAGGCAAAAAAAACCGATTCTGAACAAGAATCGATCACCTGCGACCAAAACAGAATTCATTAATTATCAAGGTTTTTGGTGTGTGTGTTTTTGTAAAATTTTGATCATTAAAGTTAATTATTTTTTCAAAAAAAAAGTAATAATCAAAATATTTTTTTTTTAAAAGAAAAAATCAAAGTTTTGTTTTGACAAATTAAAATTGAATTTTTTTTAAAAAAATTCAATTTTTATCAAATTATCAATTATTTTGGTTTTTTATCACAAATTTATAATTTATCACAAGTTTTTCAATAATCAATTTTTTTTCTCTCTCTGTATATTCGATGATGCTTTCAGCAGTAAGTCCATATCTCGCTTGGTTTTCGTTCATGATACCAACAATTTGGAACAATGGTACGATGAGAATCATATGCCAATTTGTTTTTTTTGGTCATTTTGTTCGACGAACAATTTTTTTTCCTCTCGAACCAATATAATAAATCCGAGATGAAGAAAAATATGATTTTGTTCAATGGTATTCAATAAATTTAAAAAAAAGCATTTTTTCAAAATGAAAAAATTGAAAAGGTTAAAGTGATTGACTTGAAATCATTTTGTCATGCTACTAAAGAGATAAATAGATAATTTTTTTTAGAACTACTACTTTTTGTTTGTTGAATGGAAAAAAAAGATAATAATGATAATGATAATAATAATAATGATAGTAGTAATGATAATTTTAAAGAATATAAATAGATAATTATATTATAATTTATAAATCGACCAATAAAATTACATTCATCACAGAAACTGTTGCCACAACATGGTACCAGTACGGCATCCTGTAATAGATTTTTACATAATGAACATTGTAGCTCTTCAGGTATTTCGATTTTTTGTTGTTGTTCAGCATTCAATTCGTTTTCACTTTCGGAAAATGGTGCTTTTTCTTTTTTCACTTCTTTATATGCAACACTGTTGTTTTGAAAACAAAAAACAAAAATGAAATAGATACAGACATTAATATCAAGACAATACTCTATCATTGAAATTTGTAAAACTTACTGATCAATAATTGGTACAGCATATTCACCATTTGCTGTTATCATTGCACCTTTTTGTTCAGGTCCAACTGTTATCATAAAACTACGTGGTATACCCGTACTACGTTTAACATCGATATTATTTGTTGGACAATGTTTAATATAATGTCCAGGTTTTCCACAACGATAACAAGTATAATTTGGTGGTAATGGTCCCATTGGTCCACGTCCTCTTGCATATTTGGATGGATCATAATCTTTGGTTGATTGTGTTAACATTTCTTTGATTTTATCCTCTTCAGAACTATTAGCAGCACTACCACCAACAGTAGATAATGTTCCCATATTTGATGATGATGATGTATTATCCTTTTTTCATAAAAAAATTGAAAATTTCAACATTAAAAACATTCGAATTCGACAAAAGATTTATAAGGAAAGAAAACAAAACGAATTTCAACTTACAATTACTTTATTTCCACTGTTTGAATTATTATTATTATTATTTTTGTTCCATTGTTTTTTATTCGAATTTGCCACAGGTACACGGGCAACAATCACAGATGTATTTTTAGGTATTAATGTTGAATTATTTTTATATACTAAAAATAATAATGATCAAATTGTAAAAATTTTATAAATTACAAAAATAGGAAAAATTACTATTTACCTTCTTTAGTTTGAGCATTTGTTATTTCTAGATCAAGATCGGCACTTTTACCAATTTTTCTTTGTTGCATAATGGCTTTTTTTAATTCACCAACCGATATATGTAGACTATCGAATGTAATTGTATGGGCTTCTTTACCACTTTTGAATTTATAATGTACGGACATTTTCTCGCTTGGTTGATGTTTAATTGTTTAATTTGGATGATGACCAAAAAAGACAATTGATTGGATGGACACAATTGAAAACAAAACAAAACAACACAAACATAAATGGATGAAAATACACACAGTAGCTCGCTGAAGAAAATGATAATCACACCACGTATTCGTTTTGTGAAATCGAAAATCGTACCAAAAATTATTAATCAAGTTTTTTTGACTTCCAAAATAAAAAGAGAAACTTTGTTTGTTTTTTTCTGCTCGTTCTGGAACACAGAAATAGATAGTATTATTATTTAACGATGACGATTTCTCCCACTCCAAACAGGAACAAAAAAATCAACAACGGGTTTTCTTTTTTTCTTCTCGATTCGATCGGTTTTCTTTTTCGTTTTCAATTTGGCAAACAGAAAACTAATAAATGTGGCTCGTTTTTTCTGTTTGTTGTTGTTGTCTTTGAGTGAAACGAGAAAAAAACAAAAAAGAAAATGGAACAACGTTTTTGGCTTTGGAAATCAACAAAAACAACACCAGAAAAAAAACACGATGACGACGACTATAACGAGTACAATTTGGAAGCCATATTATTATGAGCAGCACGCAATAAAATAACCAACCAGAAAAATCGAACACAACAAACCAGAGAAACACAATAGCGTGGTGGCGCCACCAGTTTTTCTATAACCTTTTTTTTTTCTTTTCAAAATGAAAAAGTGAAAATTTTTTTCTGGAAACTTTTTTTCTATTTCAAGTTCGAAATCTTCTGGGAAACTTTTTCTTATGATTCGATTTTTCAAATTTTTTTGAATTCGAATAGAAATTTTTTTTGCTTAATCATTTCGATTTTTTGTTGATTTCAAATTGATTTGAATTGAAAAAAATTTGTTAAAATTGAAAAAGACAAGGATAATCCGAAAAAACTGGCTCAGTATATCAATGTTGTCTGTCAATATTGATAATGATGATTTGATCGAATTTCATTATCGAATGCAGTGAAATATGATTTACATGCAATTTTCATTCATTGAATTTGAAAAATGTAGGCGAAAAAAACGAAACAAATATCGGATCATTATCAAAATCAGATGATGATTGTTCTTATGATCATCGATATCATTGATTGTAAACAATGATAATCATCAGCCAGATGTTCATCAAAAAAACATTCAAAAATCATCGATTTTGGCTCTAATCATTCGACAAAAAATGACGCATCCAATACTATCATCATATCATCGAAAAAGGAATATCCCTATGGGATTTTTCCAATTTTTTCTGCTATTATTCTCAATAATAATCCTCATTATAAAGAATAGTGATCAATCCTATCAACCAAAACGTATTTGTTATCTGTTGGCCGAAAAACCTGAACATTTAATTCCAATTGATCAATTAAAATTCAAATTATGTACGGATTGGATATTTTCATTTGCACATTTAAATGGTTATAATGTTACAATAAGTCCATTGATGGATGATTATATACGTAAAGTTATGTCATCATCAACAACAACAACAACGAATAAAACAAATGTGGAACAAAATTTTCTCATTTCAATCGGTACTGGTGATATGTCATTTGTTGATAATCCAAAAGATATTGAAAAGTAAGTTTAAAGACTGAATTTGAATTAAATTAAAGATTAACCCTTTGTTCTTCCAAATCAATAGATTTATTGATTCAATCATTCAATTAATGGATCGATTCAGCCTGGATGGTTTTGATTTAGATTGGGAATTTCCTGAACAACGTAAACATCAATTTACACGACTGTTACGTATGATACGTTATCGTTTTCAACATAAATTAAATAATCATGGCCGACCATATTTATTAAGTGTTGCATTATCACCAAATATTTATATTGTTGAAACAAGTTATGATATTCGTTCGATTGGACATTTAGTTGATTTTGTTAATCTAATGACATATGATTTTCATTCACCAAATACATTTCCATATACAAATTTTAATTCACCATTATATGCAAACCGATTGGATAAATTATATTTTGAATATTTTAATGTAAATTTTGCCGTAAATTATATGTTACAATTAGGATTACAACGACAAAAGCTAATGGTCGGTATACCGTTTTATGGTTATAAATATTTTCTAGTCAATCAAAAATTTCATAATCTTTATGCATTATCCAATGGTACTGAAGGTAATCATTCATTCATTCATTTTTTCTTATTTGAATTTTTTTTCTAACATTGAAAATCTTCTTATTCTTCACTATAGTTCCGGTTGCATTCAATGAAATATGTGGACGTGAATTTCTCGCCGATCCAAATACAACAAAAATATTTGATCAAAATTCCAAAGTTCCATATGCATATCGTAATTTTGAATGGATTACATATGATGATTATGAAAGCGTAACAATAAAAGCACAATGGATTATGGATAATCATTTGGGTGGATCAATGACATTTCCATTAAATTATGATGATTATGATAATCAAAAATGTAAAACAAATCGAAATTATCCACTTCAATCTATTCTTTATGATATTATTAATTGAAAAAAATTATTTAAAAAAATTCAAATAAAAATTTCAATCTAAACATCTAGATGGCGTTCTTTAGCGAAAAAAATTTGAAATTTTTTCTACCGTAATTTCAGGCATATATGCCGCGGTCAATACATGATAGTCATCAACCTAACCTAACTCAACCATAAATCATGGCCATAGTCATCAGCCTAACCTAACCTAACTCGACCACATAAGGCTTATATGCGAAAAATTACTGTACAATAAAAAAAAAGAGAAACTGGGTCTTTTTTGATTTGATTCGATTTTTTCATTTCACTTCTTGTTACGAAACTTTTTTCATCGATATCAAAAAAACGGGAAATGTGTAAATTGAACATCCAAATTGAGAACGAATTTAGCCAAAAATTAAATTACAAGAGAGATGTGAGAGAAGGAAAACAAAATAAATTATGGAAAGGAAAAGAAAGCCTTAAAGCTTAACATAATTTGATTGATATGATTTTCCAAAGAAAATATACACTGTGTAGAAATATACTGTGTGGTGAAAAATGAAGAGAAATATTATATCACTTGGAGAACGCAATCTCCAAAAAAGAGAGAGATCTTGAGATCTTTCTTATATATCAACCTTTGATGATGATAATAATAATGATGTAAATGATGATGTATGTGTGATGCATAAATTGCATTTTTTTGGATTCATTTATGAAACCATCCATAATGATTATTATTATTTTGACTTAATCAAAACTTTGAATAAATTTAAATGAGAAAAAAAGGTAAAATAAAGAAACATCAATCGAAAAAACAAAGAAAAGAACCTTTTGTCGTTGAATTATTGTGGGGGGTGGAAATATTCTGTAAAAAAAACGAAAAAGAATCGATAAATAAAGGCAAAAAAAGTGTGCGTTTTTTTCTTGAAATTAAATTATTTTTGAAATAAATCAATGAATTTGCCCCCCGAAATAAACAAAAAAAAAAACAAAAAAATCATCAAAAATTATCATCAGTGCAAAATGAATAACTCCCATTAAATTCATCATCATCGATTTGTTGTTTGTTTGTTTGTTTAGTTTTCTACCACCACCACCACCATCAAAAATCATCAGTTTTATCATCATCAAAAAATTTGGATAAAAACTAAAAACCAAAAAAGAAATTTTTTCACAAAAATTACAATGCGACACGTCATTTACGACACGGACAATTTGTGTTGCTACTCAGCTCCTCCTCCTCACTCACTCATTCGCTCACTCAATTTTTTGTTCGAATTTGTTCTTTTTTATATTTCGCTTTACTGCGTCATCATCATCGTCATCCATTTTTTCTGTAAAATATCGCTCTAAAACACTCACACACAACACATATACAACCAATCTTTTGGACAAACAAAGTAAAAAAATGTAAAAACCAAAAAACAAAAATTATCCATCTTAAAACCCAGAAAAAATCATCATCATTTTTATTGAATTTGAATGAAAAACATCGAAAATTCGTCATCTTTTTCTTTTGTTTTGTTGTTGTGGAAATAGAAAATCGAAAATAATGATTTTTGAAAACAAACAAAAAACTTGACCAATTACAAATCTTGAGAAAGCGAAAATAATTTCTTTTCAGTTCGCACCAAACACACACACACACATACACATCGCAAAGGAATCGATCGAACCAAAACTAAAGAAATGATATTTTTAGAATAACATTTTACGGAAAATAATCAAAAAAAATTTCAATCATTTCCATCAACTATCGATCAAACATCATTGTTTTGTGGAATATTTTTCTTTTTTGTTTCACTAATTTTCAAAATTGTGTGATTATCTGTCTCCATAGTGTTGTCGTATTGGATTCGGAAAAAAATTTGAATGAATGAAACGCACTTTTGTTTTTTTTTGACTTCATCAATCAAAAATTTGAATTTTTCTTTTGGAACCGTGGAATCCGAAATTAGAGCAAAAAAAAAGAATTTGAAATTCTTTTGGATTTTTTGGAAAATATTAAGAAAGAAAATCCAGAAAAAATAAGAATCCTGGAAAAGAAAAACTAGAAAAAAAAGGATAATTCAGGTTGGTGTGTGAAAGTAAATGCTGTTGTGTTTTGATCATCTTTATTATTTAAAATTACAAATTAGGTAATTATAAATTTTTAATTTGAATTTTTTTTAACCATTTTTTTTAAAAAAAACATTTATAAAATTCCAAGGCTTTTTCTTTTTTCTGGAAAATTTTCCCAAAAAATTTTTATTTACAACAAACAAACACCCCTTTATCTGATTGGGTGTTTTTTAGTTAAAGATTTTCTTTCGAAATGCGCATGTTCAGTTCTGCTTTTTTGTTTAAAGCTTCTAAATTGAGGGCGTCGGCGGGAGTATGACCGAGACAAGTTTCCTTTACATTCTTTTTTTTCGAATCGCGCATGCGTATCGATTTTTTCTCTTTAATAAACCAAAAATATTGTCCTCCAAACATTGTTTTCCAAATGTTTCGAAATCAAGTTTTTTTTCGCTAAATCAAAATTGTGTCTACGTCGATAACAAAATAAAGAAAGCGAGAAATTGATGTTGTTGTTATTGACGACGACGACAACGATAATTACGTTTTTTTTTTGATTTTGGTTTTGTATAAAAATCCCCAAAGAAAATGATGATGATGATTTATCAAAAAAAAAACCATAAACAATCCTAAAATGTAATAATTACAAAATTTCTATATAGTTTTTTACCAACCAGTTTTAATTATTGAATTTGTTTTGCTCGTTTTTTTTTGTTGAAATATTTTGTAAACTTTTTGAAATTCGAATATTATGATGAAACAATTTAGTAATCGATGATTCATAATACGACCACAATTTCAGCCATATAATAAGAGAGAGAGATAATTGTAAACAAACAAAACAAATTAGTTTTTTCTGGAAAAAAAAAGATTGGAATTGAATTATTGGTTTTTTTTTTTGGTTTTCTTAGCTTGAAAACTGATCCAAAAAAAAGTACGTGCCAAAAATTCTTTTTTTGTTTGTTGATTTTTGGAACGAAACAATCGATTAATTCGTCCATCAATAAAGAGAAAAAACATTCGAATTTTTTTTTTCGAATACTAATTTTGTGTGTGAAATTCTTTGTTTTTGTTTTTTGGATGTTTTTTCCGGTGTTTTATTGTGCTCATTGTAGGTTTGTCTATCTACGTGTATAATTCAATTTTAGAAATAAAAAAACAAAATTTATTTAGTTGCTTTGATTGAAATTGGGCCGAAAAAACAAAACAAAAAAATTTCCTTCCGCTACTTTATATTCTCAAACACTCTGTAGCACTATCGGCTTATTTCTATAATGGTTGGCTATAATGTCAACAAACGTGAAAACGAAACCAAACAAAAATTCAATCGAACCATTTCGAATAACATTTTCGAATTTAATCGAATAAAAGTGAAAATATGAATCCTTCTTCGAATAAAGGAGCAAAAATTTTTGATATAAATTGTTTCAAGGAGAAAAAAACTGTTTCAAACGAAAACAAGAAACAAAAAATAATTCATTTCGATTGAAATGAACAGAAATTCCACCTTGATGAATGTTTAGATCATTTAATTAACTGGCATCCAAAATACAAAAAATTCCTAAAATCAATAGATTAACTGATTTTTAATTCAAAAATTTTTTCCATTTTTTCCATATAGCCAAAATCCTTTCTATATGTTTTGGTGATATTGAAAAAGTTCATAAAAAAACCAATAAGGATAAAAAAAATACTCAACCAAAAACAAAAAAATTCTTTAGAAGAAGATCAATAGAATCAATAGAATCTGATTCATTCATTCTCAATCATTCATTATTAATCATGTCTACCGATGAAACTGAAGAAGGTGAAATTCTTGAAGATGGTGAAATTGCTGATGATGATAATGATAATCATATCAGAGATTTCGATGAAGGATCAAAAGAAAATGATTTAATTATGAATAATGGTGGTGGAGGAGGAATTATCATCAATAGATTTGGTCCACCACCACCACCAACAACACAACCATCATTGCATCAACAATTTTCAGGAAATTTTGATAGCAGGTATTTTGTTTTTCTTTGAAAAACCAAAAGATTTTTTCTAAAATCAATTTTGTTTTTTTAGGGATGAAAAGTTCTTTCCCGCACCATTACCACCTAAAGGACCACCACCACCGCAAGCGAAACGAGGCAAAAAAAGAGGTGATCGTGGTAATCGAAAAAGAAAACGTATAAATAATATTATGGATAATAATAATGTATTATCCGGTATGAATAAACAACGTAAATTTTCACCACCAACGCATCAATTACAACAACAACAACAACAATCATCATTATTAAATGAACCATCATCATCATCATCATTATCAACGACAAATTCGATACAGCCATCCTCATCACCAACATCATCGACGATGACGACGACGATAGTAGCGACAAATAGTAATCAACGTGATACATTCGATATAACACAATATTTGAATGATTCATCATTCGATGCTGTCGAACTGTCTGATGAAATAGAATTCCGTTTTGAATTGATTGAATTTGATGTTTTTATGGAAATATTAGGCTGTAAAATTAATGAAGAAAGTGATTTATTTAAAAATGGTAATATACCACAACAACAACAACAAGAACGATCAAAATTAATGTCAAGAATAGTGAAAATAATGAAAAAATTACATGGCAATGGTGAGTTTGATGACTAAAAAAAAAATGACGCACGTGTGTCAATCACATGTGTCTGATTTTCTATTTTCTATTTTTTCATTAAATTAATTTTTCTTTTTGAATATTAGATCCGGATACTGCACGACGATTTGCAAGGCTTAAACGTCGTTCGAAAGAAAAACAAAATTCAACCGATAATGAATCGAAAACTGGTGTTTTTAAAACACCATGCCGATTTTATATTGAAGGCAAATGTCATAAAGGATCGGATTGTTTATATTCGCATGATGTATCTATTCCTAAACGTAAAGAATTATGTAAATTTTATCTTCAAGGTTTTTGTGGTATGTCAATAATATTGATTAGTTTTTATTTCTATTTTCGTCATAAAAAAATGTTTTATTTTGTTTCAAAATCAAGGTAAAGGTGATGATTGTCTTTTTATGCATAGTGAATTTCCATGTAAATTTTTTCATACAAATACTAAATGTTATGCGGGAGAAAATTGTCGTTTCAGTCATCAAACGCTTACTGATGAAATGCGTGAAATACTTCGAAGTTATTTAGATTCGGGAACATTCCCTGATGAAGTAAAACCATATTGGCCAATTAATAATCCAAATGATTGGATAAAAGATGTTGATGATCCTGATTCAAATGATTATGATTATGATGGTAAGATTAATAATAATATCGATTATATGTTTTGGTGATATTTTTAAAAATACTTTTTTTTTTAAATTTAGCATTATTATCGAATAAAACACGTAAAGTTTTACTTGGACCACCAAATGAAAAAATGAAAAATTCTTTAGAAACATGGAAATGGCAACAAGAATTAAAAGAATCTGAACAATCATACACTGGTGCTAAACGTAATCTATTTAGTATTGATGATGGTCTTGTATTGAAAGAAAAACCACCAACACCAAGATTGGAAGAAGATGATGAAGTAATTGAAGCACATATTCAAAGCTATTATAATGATTTACTTGATACGGATGATTATGATGAAATGATACATTTAAAAGAAATTGAAGAATTAGAACAAAAATTAAAACAAGAAGAAGAAATACGTAAACAACAATCAATACTTGATCCTCCCCCTCCTTCTACGACAACAGAATTTCCTAATCCTACGATTGTATCAGATAGTTCGACATTACAACAACAATCATCAACAACAGAAGAGCTTAGTGAAGAAGAAAAACGATTAATTGAAGCATCAATGAAAGATGAAGATCTTCGTATTTTGCCTAATCAACCTTTTGTTCTTCCGGCAGCTTTTGGTGGACCGCCTACTACGCCAATACCAATGGCTCAACCATCTACAGTTTTAGATGTCAATCAAACAACACCTCCATATGTATCGAATTTTAATTCACCTCATCATAATCCATTTGGTCTGCCGCAACCATTATTAGATGGTGGTGGTCAACCTGTATTGGATTCAAAACCTTTTGGTATCAACAATAACATAGATCCTTCACCGCAATCAATGTTACCCGTTCAAACGCAGCAGCCTTCACAAGATCCAAGAACTCGTGATCCTAGAATTCGTGATCCACGTTTAAATAATTCTAATCGATTAGTGCCTAACGTTGTAACAACAACAGCAACAACTTCAGTAACAAATGTTTCATCAAATTCTAATATCAGTGGTGGTGGACCATCACCATCAATATCAACACAGTCTACAGTTTTATCAACTACTGTTAATTCGATAAAACCCGAAAATAAAGTAATCAAATCTAATACACAAAATCTAGTCATCAAATATAAATTGATTGGCGTTGAAGTAAATGCTATCGATTATTCTGTTTATTATGAATCTTATCAGGTGGATAATTCATTAAGATGTGATCCTCGATTGAAAAGATTTTTTGATAATTTATCATCATCATCACCTCGAATTAATACAAATTTTACAAACACTGTAGATCAATCGACAGATCAAGTGCAAGAATCAAATTTTCCGAAATCTTCAACTGAATCATTTATGATGACTGGACAAAAAAAATCTTCACCATCACAATCGGTAATAATAACCAAACCACAACCATTATCATTATCATCACAATCATCATTACCATCATCATCATCAAGTAATATTATCATTTCAAGAGATCCTAGAATGCGTAATCGAATCAACGATAATGATCTTCGTAATAGTTTGGACACTAAAAATAGTGATAGTAATACAAGTATTATTTCAACAAATTCTACTGATCAAACTATTACAACAACAACATCACCATTATCATTAACAACAAATACGTTGACTACAAGTGTGGTTGAAAATTCGGAAATGAATACTAGTACAAAATCTAAAAATAATAGTACAGTAGTAGTATCTGATCAAAATACTCAAAACAATCTGACGGAAATTATCAATTGTAAAAATAATGATCGATCTTCAATACCATCATATGCATTATCAGCATTATTGCCAACAACACAATCATTATTTTCATCAGTTACTGGAAATAGTTTATTACCATTTAATAAAACATCTACAAACACAGAATCATTATTATTAATAGATTCGAACAATATTAATAATGATGACGATGATGATGATGATGATGATGAAGAGGATCAACTAAAAGTTGATGAGAATCCTATTGATTCTACTCTTATTAATGATGGTGAATCATCATCAAATGAAACAAAATTGTGGCCAAAAATAAGCGTAAGTTTTATTTCTATTCGATAAGATATTGTCTAAGATTGACTAACTTGAATTTTATTTTTATTTGCCCTACTAATAATATTCATTTGCTATGTTTGTACCAATCTCTAATGACTTTTTTATTTTTATTTTTTGTTGTTGTTTGAATCTTTACTATTTTTATTTTTTCTATCATCATTGAATATATAGATTGGAAACAATTTGATAAATAATGATGTCACAAATACAACAACAACAAAAACATTGTCTGTGATAGATTCATCTGATAATGAAATGGAAATTGATCTAAGAATTTCTTCTACATCAACGAATTTGTTTGATAAAAATAATGCATTAAATTCGAATCTAATTAATGTTCATCAACCACCATCATTATCATCATCAAAATCACAATTATCATCATTAACGTCAACAACAATAGAAGCAGCTATAAAAAATCAAGATGATAATCAAAATAATAGTAGTAATAATGAATCAGAATCTGAATATGAGAATGAATTGATTATAGCAACGAGTAGTTCGGAACAAGAAGATAATTTATTATTATCAAATTCATCGTCATTGTTGAACAATAATAATAATAATAATATTGATGAACAACAATTACAAAAACAACAACAACAAAATAATATTGTTAGTAGTTGTGGTGATCTATAATCAATTTTATATTTAGAAAAAAAAACGAGGAGGAGTCATCCAATCAAAATGATATTAATCGATAATCCAATATTCAGCACAAGGATGATAATAATGTTGACTGAATGTATGTGCACACACACACATTAGCAAATGGAAAACGAAATGAAAAAAAAGTTGAAAAAATTGGGAAAAGGCAAAAAGACAAACAAAAAAATAGGACAAACAAAGAATAATTTGAATTTGAAAATCATCAAAAAAAATAAAAATTTGAAACAAAAAAACAATGGATTTTTTTATTTTTTGGAAATAAAATTCAAGAATAATTTCGGAATAATAATCAAAAATAATGGTTGAAAACTTTCTTCTTCTTCTTACTTCGTGCCACATTTTCATGTTTATTTTTCTTTTTCTTTTTTAATTATTTATCAGTTTATAATTCTCTCTCTCTCTCCTCTACTTATTATTATTATCATTATTATTATTATTATGGCCACACAAACAATATATATTTAAAAAAAAATTCAATATAAAACGGTAATTTATAATTATAAAGTTTAAGATAATAATGCACACACAACACACACACAAAAACAAATGAATCTTAATATTATTTTTCAACAAACAAAACGCAAAACACAAAATTTTGATGGATCGATATAGTGTGTATAAAAGTTTTTTTCTTTTTGTTTGTTTCATTTTTTATCATAAATTTTTTTTTTCGTGATGCAAAAATCGTTTTTTGCATGTTTTTTTTTCTTCATATTTTATTTATTTCTATATGGAAAAGAATATCATCTTTTTTTTACTTAATGGTGACATTCATTCATTTTTTCCCGCTTGGTACAAAAGAAAAATCACATTAAATTCATCATATGTGGGCATATTGTATAAAAGAACAATATTAAGATATATCACGCAATTTGTAATAATAATAATAATAATTCATATTCCATTAAGTAAAAAAAAAAAATTTTGTCAAAAACTATAAAAATTCTGATTCTTGGAATGGCAATAATAATTTTCTTTTCTTCTTGAGTGTGTTTCCTTAATGTTTTATTTTTTTTCGATATTTAAAATTCTTGGCTATTATTATTATTTATTACGTATCCAACGAAGAATATCGGCAGTAAAATATGTAATAATAATTGATGCACCTGCACGTTTAAAACCGATTATTGTTTCCATAACAACTTTTTCTAAATCAAATAAACCAATTTGTGCGGAATATTTTAACATTGAATATTCACCCGATACTTGATATACGGCAATTGGATAATTAGGATAATGATCGGCAATTGATCGAACAATATCTAAATAAGCCATTGCAGGTTTAACCATAATCATATCGGCACCTTGTCGTATATCACGATCAATTGAACGTAAAGCCATACCACGTGAACCAGAAGGTAATTGATATTGTTTACGATCACCGAATTTTGGTGCCGATCCAGCTGCATTACGAAATGGCCCATAAAAACAGGATGAAAATTTTGCACCATACGATAGTATGGAAACATTCGAATAACCAGCCGAATTAAGTTGTTCACGTATCATTGCAATACGACAATCCATCATATCGCTTGGTGCAATAACATCGGCACCAACTTGTGCATATTTTACCGATAATTTTGCCAAAGTTTCAATTGATTTTTGATTATCAATTTGGCCACTATGTTGATCGAATACACAACAATGTCCTATGTAATTTAAAGAAAATATTAAAAAAAAAAGAAAAATTATCAAAAGATGATGATGATGATGATGATAACCTTACCATGATCAGTAAAAGCACAAAGACAAACATCAGTTATAATTAATAATTGTGGAAATTTTTTCTTAATCACCGGTATAACTTTTAACAATGGATTTTTATGAAAATCAAATGCATTATCTAAATTTTTAACATCATCTTTCATACAAGGAAACAATAATATTGCGGATAGATTTAATTCGGCGACTAATGGTGATAAATAATCGATAAGTACATTTTGTCCCATACGTTTAACATCGGGAAATGATTCAATTGATTCAATATCATCATCATTACCAAGTACAAATATAGGTAGAATAAAATCTTTTGCAGAAAAATTTTCAATCGATTGTGATTGCCAATGTCTTGTAATTGGATGTGATTGTGATGAATGTAAATAATCATTTAGATTTGTATTTGAATTCATTGTGGAAGACATGAATGTTTTCTTTTAAATTGAATTCGGTTCGTCTTTTTTTCTTCTTTTTTTTCGGGGAATTCTGTTTGTCGTTCGGAGAAAAACCATGTAAGGAAATGGAAAAATAAAATAAAATAAAAAATAAAAAACGGAAATTAAAGTAGGAAAAACAACAAGGAAAAAACACTAAGCTAATGGAAAAATCAAACAAATAAAAAAAAGTGCAAGTTTTAATGTAAAATCAATAAAAAAAGAAAAACTTTGGTTACCGTTTGGATGTTCGTGTGTGTATGTGATAAATAGAGAAACAAATCGAATCAGACAGAAAAAAAAAATGTTTTCGATCAAGTCCAAAATGATTGAATTTTTCGTTTTCTGATATTTTTTTTCTGGTAAAGCAATCTATGTTTTTTTACAAACAACCTTGTTGTGTTTCGATGAAAAAAACAAGAAAAACAAAATCTATCGATTTAATGATGATATCATATCGATTGGAAAAAAACGAAGAAAAAGATCCTATTTCAACCTTGATGGTTGAAAGATGAGTTTTTCCATTTGTCCGGTTCGTCGAAAAAAAAATTCCTCTAATTGGAAATGATGTTTTTCCAGATAATTTTTTTTAATTAAATTCAAAATTTCTCGTGGAAAAAAAATTAACAATTTATCATTGCAACAACAGCTTGCACATTCATTATTTCAAACAACCAAAAAAAAGTTTAGACCAAAACGAAGAAGAAAAATGATGCTTATAACGTGCAACTGATGATGATGATGATATTGATAGCAATGATGATATGACGTCAATGACGTCAAATGAGAAAAAATCTACATATTAAATGTTTGAACGAAAAATTAATCATAACATCACTATCATAGACCCAGACATCTTTTTTTGTTGGATACATTATGCATTCGATTAGATTGTTTTTTCAGGTAGAATTCTTTGAACCAGAAAAAAATGATGAAAATTGAATTATCATCATCTTTTGAGCCAAAATTGGAGAAAATTGTTCCTGGCTTAGTTTTTTTTTTATTATGGATTTCACATGTTACCCAGCCGACCAATCGACCGAACGAATGAAAACACTTAAGAAAAAAAGCTTATTAGATTTTCATTCATGTTTCATTCTCTTCAGTTTTCGATCGATCCTCTTCATATTTATTTACTATTTACACTTAGATAGGTAGTTATTATTGTTGTACAATTACGAATTGGAATTAAATTAGATCAGCAGCAAAACAAAAAAGCAATTATTTGATTGGCAAAAAATCGATCGATCGAATAAGAATCGTAAAAGGAATTTTGGTCAGAAAAATTTTTCGGTGTTAAATAAAATTCGGTTTATGAAAATAGATAGATTGATCAATAAATAAGGGAAAAACGAAAGGTTAGATAGATAAATCGCGCATGAAACTTCTTCCTTTTTCTTTCAAAAAATGTGAATTTTTGTTCCATGGAACATTTAAAACTAAAACTAAAATGTTTCACATTGAAATACTGAATCGCTACTTCAAGTACCATTTTTTTCGTTTTGTTGTTGTTGTTGTTATCGTTGTTGAGGAAACAACAACAACAACAACAAATGTCTGTGTATTGTTTGTTACGGTTGTTGTTGTTATTATTATTTCCAGAATATATATTCAATTCCTTAGTGTGCGTGTCATATATATCATCATCAAATATATATTCTTTGTGTAGGCCAAATAGCCAGGAGAATGAAATATGAAAAAAAAGTGAGTCAATGCCATTCGAGAAAAACAAAAATGTGGAACGGTATCAGTGGAAAAAAAAGTAAAAGAAAAAAATCCATTCATTAGTTATCAACCGTATATCGTCGTCAGACACAAAATATACGGATTGGCAATTTTTTCGGGTATTTTTTTTCTCGTTTATAACGAATGACAGAGACACACACATAGACACACGCGTCTCTTTATCATTGCCAAATGAACGTCAAAAAAAAAATTATTTATATTTCGGTTTCTATGGTTCTATTCTATGGTGGTGAATTTTCGGGCAGTCTTTTTTTGTGCGTGAGAAAAAAATGACGACGAAAAAGAATATCTTAAAAATTTCATTCAATCAAATGAAATAAACAATAAAGAAAAGCAAGCAAGCAATAATGACTATTCAAATTCATCCAAAAACACCTGATCATCATAATCAAAATCATCAATCAATTTCGCCAACAACAACATTCAATCAACAACAACAAGAAGAATTTGTTCGTTATAATGGTTGGAATCGGCCATTTCATTATTTTCAATTAATTGGTTGGACAATATTTATCGTGTTTGGTTTTATAAATTTCTTATTACTTATACCAAATATATCATCAATAATGGATAATGTTTTACCATTATTTGGTATAAATTTATTTATTTATTTATTACATTTTTTTACAAATATTATAACATCATCTATAAATCCTATCGATGATTATGTATTGGAAAAATATCGTCGTCTTAATAATCAACAACGTTTAAAACCAAAAAAATTTGATCGTAATAAACATAAACATGTTATTGAAAATCAATTTTGTTATATTTGTGAATCAATTGTTAATAAAAAATCTAAACATTGTAGCCTATGTAATAAATGTGTTTCAAATTTTGATCATCATTGTAAATGGTTAAATAATTGTGTTGGTAGTAAAAATTATAGGTAATAACAGGTAAAAATGAACAGGTAAAACAAAACTAATAATAAATCTAAATTCATTTTGTTTTTATTTTAAAAATCTAATAATTTATAAATAAAGATGGTTTGTAATGTCAATGTTAACAGCATTATTACAAGCATTAATTATATTGATAACAACAATTTTATTAATCATCGTGTTACATGTTCCGGATTTTTATCATCATCAACAACAACAACAGGAACAAGAACAAGAACAACAAAGTAATTTATAATTTATCAAGATTTTTACTTTTATTATAAATTACAAATTTTATAATTTTTTAAATAGCATCATCATCAGCAACAAAATTAATAATTGTCCATTATGAATTTGATAATGAAGGATTACCAAGAATATTATGGTCAATATTATTATATATAACATTATTTATATCAAGTATAACAACAATATTACTTTTACATCTTTGTATTTTTCATATATTTTTAAGTAAGTTTTTTTTTAAAAAAAAGTTATAATTTTCAAAATTTACAAATTTTTTCACTAACTAGATATAATCGGTGAATCTACATATGAATTTGTAATGAGACAACGATCATTATTGAAACAAGCAAGACAATCACCATCATCATCGACATCGACAACGACGAAAACCGATCGAACAACAACAACAACAACAAAAATCCAAATCGATCCAGAACAACAACAGCAAACAAAATTAAAGAAAAATTGTTGTTGCTGCTGCTCATTTACCGATGGAATTTTCTGTAAAAATAACAAGGTTAAAATTGATAACAGCAATGGCAATAACAATATGAAAACGGACAATCAAAATAAACAACATAAAGTAAAATTTGAAAATCAAACTAGGTCAGATAATGATGATAGTGATAAACATACAATCAATGAACAAGAATCATCTGATAATCAAGAATTACAAAAATCATCAAATGGTTATAAAAATGGGAATCAAATGAAAGTTTGACACGTTTTGGTACAATCAGAATATTCACTGACATTTGACACTGGATGGATCAGAAATATGTGTAAGCAACAACGAACGATCGTGATTTGAAATCATAACTAAACATAAATCGACTGTGAAACCAAAACAAAACAAAAAACCTAAATAATCACATAATAAAAGCGAAAAAAAATCTGGAGTACCGTTTGGAAATGAATGAATTATTAATTCGATTTGATATCATTTCATTTGAATGAATCATAAATATTGCGGACGATTTTGTTTTGTTTTGTTTTTTTTTTGTGTTTTTCGGTCATTCCAGCAAATAAACAATAATCAGAATCAAACTTGAGTTGCCAAATTCCTGATGGTGGTGGTGGTGGAAAAAATTGATAACAATTGTTACTTTTTTTCATTTTACGTTTGAATTATTATCATTATCATTATACACTCAATGTTTTATTATTGTTGTTTTTCTTTTTGATTTTTCGAATGTTTTTTTTTAAATAAAGAATTTTTTTCAAAATATGAAATGAAAGGAAATTTGAATGAAATTGTCACTTACCTTTCGAACTGAAATTTAAAATTTGATTTGAGAAAAATTATTTGATCAAATTTGTTGAAAGTAAACGTTTTTTGAAAAACAAAAAAAATTTCAATAAAATTTTGGGTAACTTTGAAATAAAAAACATTCGATTCTGTGCATGCATTTTAATATTAAAAGGAAAGAATATATATAAAAAAAATTAGATCTAGGTGTATCCATCCAGGTGGATATAGTCGTATAGTCTATGGGATTTTTTTCTGTTGATTGACAATTGTGTTTCACATATTAATACATACATGTATCCTCACTGTTTGTTTGTTTGTTTGTGTTCATGGATCGTGTGTTTTGTGTGTGTTTTGATATTAAAATTATAAAAAGAAGAATATGCATTGAATGTTTTTTATTTAGAAAATTGATTTTATCATTTTTTTTCAATCATCATTTGTAATCTTTTGTTGATGGCCATCATCATTAATAATAATAATCTTATTGGAAAGAATAAATAATGTCTTTGATCATATTTAATCGAATGATGAATCAAATACCGGCCAATAAAGCCTGTGAAACTGAAGAAGAAGTTGATGATGAAAATTATAATTTTAATAATGCAGATGTTGATTCCAAATCATATCTGGTCAATTTGTACAAGGTTTGTCTTTTTGCAAATAAACAAAACATCATCAGCACAATTCAATACTCATTTTACTCATTTTTTTCGAAATAGAATCTGAAAAATTGCAACTATTTTCTTAATAGTTTAATCGTTAATGAACAATTGGACTATGTTGTGATATCATTGTTTAAAAATCATCAATTCAGGTATTTCTTTGTTTATTTATTGTGAACATTATTTTTTTTTTCTAAAACATTCGATTCCCCAAAACAAAACATTCGACTATATATCAACCGTAGTTTCGGCATCAAATTATTCGATTCTGATACAGTATTCGAACGTGTACATTTTACTTGTGAAGATAATCATATTATTGATTATATTGATAATGAAGAACTGCCACCAAAATTAATAGATGTGATAGAAATGTTTGATTTTAAAAATATCTATTATAATGGTTGTATTATATCGGAAATACGTGATTATCGTCAATCATCAACAGATTTTTTTAATTCATATTTTATATTACTTAAACCAACCAGTTTAAGTCTTTATAATGATGTTAAAAAAATTATTGGTTTAACAAATAAAACCTATTCATGGACAAATACTGCTCGACTGAAATTAGAATCCAAATTAATATATTTAACATCACCAAAACTTTGTCTTGATCCTAATCCTTGTATTGGTATTTTATCGAAAAAATTATCAAGGAAAAAATTAATTTTTGGTAATAAATTATTTTTAAGATTGCCAAGAAAAAGACTCAAATCAATTATTGCACGTGATCAATCAAAAGAATTTCGTTTACTTAATTTTTTAAAAATAAAAAAACCATTATCATCATCATTTATTATACCGAAAATGAAACCAAATCCTATTGCTATTGAAAGTCAAATGAAAATAATGCAAACAGAATATAAAGATGTTGAAAAATTGGCTAAACAATTAACCGAACCGAAAGATTGTCAATCAAATGAATTGATTAAAACAGAAGAATATCGTATGGAATTTCTTGATACGACCGGTACAATTATAACGTTAACCATATTTCGTCGACCTTATGATGATGTTTATTTTGGTAATATTGTTAATGTGAAGAATGGTGATTCAAAATCGGCACCAAAGTAAGTTTTATTCTCATTCATTCATTAATTGATTTCATTATTTTGAATTTTGTTTTATGTTTGATTTTAGCTTTTATCTGGGTACAAAAGAAATGAAACGTCGTTATATTGAACAATTTATTGAAACATTTTCGGAAAATGGAAAAAAATTGATTAAAATTACTCAAAGAATCGGTAATGAAGAGCCTAAAGTAAAACATACTCAAGCTGTAGAGATGTATCTATTACGACAACAACAACAACAACAACAACAGAATTCTGCAAAATTAAAAATCGAACAACAACAATCTATAACGATGAAAAACGGATCGAATATTCAACAACAACATCAGGCTCCCAAACCGACCATCATTTTGAATTCATTAATCAATAATCATCAAATTCATAGTACAAATGCTCCAAGTGATAATATAGTCACGACAACCGCAGCATCAACATCATTATCATCTTCATCATCATCATCTTCATTAGCCATAAATAATACCTCAACGCCAATGACGAAATTAACTCCGAATCAAATTGTGATAAAACATTCAAATTTAAAATTAATTCAAGCAGCTAATTCAAATGTTATCAATAAAGGTAGGATTTTTTTTTGAAATTCTAAATTCATTTCTAAATATTTTTTTCCATTATAACTAGAAGTGATCAATAATAACAATAATCATTCGACATCTATGATTTCCTTGAATACAACTACGAATAATAATAATCAATCAACAGTTCAACAATCACAACAACAACAGCCTGTTTTGTTGAATGTAAACACAACAACAGCAGCCGGTTCATATCAAAATGGAACACAACAACAACAAATACCTATTCGTATACCACTTTCATTTTCATTACAACAATTAAAATCTGGACAAATTGCTTTGGTTCCAAATACAAGTCTAACGAATCAAACATCATCATCATCAACAATAACAACAGGTACTGCTGGTCCGGTAGCTACTGTTGCTAATATTCAAATGACTAATAATAATAATAATAATTCACAAAATGTTCCGGTCACATTTACAAATGATGTTAATATCAATCATCATCATCATCATCATAATCAAGATCATTCACAACAAAATCAAAACAATGGAATTCAATCAAATAATAATGGTAATAATAATATAACAACCTATTTGCCAACCAATGTTAATTTTATTCTACAAGGAAATCAAGTTTTTACTGGTAAAATTGGTTGAAAAAAAAAACATTAACATGAAATGATAACATAGAAATTAGTTAGAAATTGAATCATATTCATTCAATCAATTTGGGTTTGTTTTTTTTGGTGTGCGTGTGTGTTTGTCAATAGGGTAAAAGATCTTATCGTGTATATATGTTTATTGAACAAAAAAAATAAATTATTTTATTGTGAATTTTTGTCTTTGCGAATGAATTAAAAATATGGATTTTAATTTTTTTGAAATGGAAATTTTTTTTTAATCTTTTTTCTCTGCTGCGAACGATTCTTAGATGGCGCCAGTTATGTGTTTTTTAAAATTCACATGTTTTTGTTTTGGATTTTTTTTTTTTAATTCGAATGTTTCAAATGTTTTGGTCAAAGTTTACGATACGTTTTCATCCGTTTTGGATGAAAAATTTTCGTTTCGTTTCACAACAACATCATCGACAATCATCTCAACCGAAAACAAATGATAATGTATCCATATGTGTTGTTGGTAATGGTTCGGATGGAAATCCACGTTCAATTTTTCTTGATTATAATGATCGAATATTTATGTTCAATTGTGGTGAAGGTGTTCAACGTTTGATCAGTGATCTAGGTTTTAAACCATCAAAAATTGATACATTTTTTGCTACATCAAATCGTTGGCATAATTTTACTGGTTTAGCTGCTTTATTACTTGCACGTTATGATTCGGGTTCTCGTCATTTTAATATTAATAATAATAATGATTTCAGTCAAAAATTGTTTGAAAATTGTACAGCTTTTGATATGAAATTAAAACGATTGAAATATAATTATTTTGATACGAATCATTTTATTCATGAAAATCTTTCCATTCAAATTGTTTCAATCAATTTTGGTGATCAAAAATCGGCTGTTTATTTGGGTAATTTAAACGCACAAAAAGGTGGAATTAATTTGGAAAAATGTTTTCAACAAAAAGTTCCACGAAATCTAGTAACGGAATTGGAACAAAATCGTTGCATTCAAAATCAAGATGGCCGAATAATTCAACCATCCGATGTTTGTGATCCAGATAGACCGGAACAAAATTTTTTAATTTTCGAATGTATCGATCAAAATTTCATCGAACATCTTTTCCTGAATGAAGTTATCGCGGAATTTATTCCAAAATGTGAAATTATTGTTCATTTTACCAAAGATGATTATTTACAAACAAAATCATATCGTAAATTTTTTCAAAAATATTCATCTAATAATCATTTTTTAATTACCGAAAATAATCCATCATTTAGTTTACGTTCAAATTATCGATTTCAATTACAATTAAATCAATTGGATTCGAATCTATTTCCATGTCTTCGAACAAATGTAAAATCAACTAACAATAGTAGTAGCCTACCGAATAATCAAAACATAATTTATTCACCAACCGGTATCCGTTATATATTTCGATCATCAACATCAGATTTATCGGTAATCAATATGGAAAATGTTCCACAATTTCCAACCATAACCGATGCACTTCAACATAAAGATGGATCAGAACGTGATGGTATTGAAGAATCGATTCGAAAACTCCGTGAAAAGCAATCGACCACCATACCAGAGCAACAATCTTCTGGTACGAATTTTCCAGAATTTTTATTCTTAGGCACTGCTTCATCACATCCATTACCAATTCGTAATGTTTCCGGAATTTTAGTAAATATTGATCCGAAAAATTCCATTCTTTTAGATTGTGGTGAAAATACTTATGGACAATTATTAAATTTTTATGGCCAAGAAAATATTGGGAAAATTTTAGCCAAAATTAAATTGATTTTTATTTCACATCATCATTCTGATCATCATTTAGGTTTAATTAATCTGCTTAAAAAACGTAAACAACAATCATTATCATTAGGTAATAATAAATTATGGATTTTATTACCACCAATGGTACATAAATTTTTACAAAATTCACAAATAATTAATTTAAATCATTATACCGTTGTTCGGAATCAATTTTTTCAACAATTTCGTTCGAGCATTATGAAAACATTATCGATTAAAGAAATTAATCTAATACCAGTTGATCATTGTGCTTATGCATTTGGTATCGGTATAACGGATAAAAATGGATTTAAATTCGTTTATTCTGGTGATACACAACCATGTGATCGTTTGATTCAATCGGGTCGGGATTGTAATCTATTGATTCATGAAGCAACTGTTGAAGATAGCTTGAAAAAATTTGCACGAACAAATTTTCATTCAACAATATCCGAAGCAATTAATGTTGGCCGTATGATGCAGGCAAAATTTATAATATTAACACATTTTAGTCAACGATATGGTAAATTACCATTATTACCTGAAGAAAACGCTGATAATAATATTGGCTTGGCATTTGATAATATGATTGTAAACGGTAATCAATTACATAGGATTCCATTATTATATGATACATTAAAATGTATGTATGCTAAACATATGGATCGTATACGTTATCGTTCGGATCTTTATGAAAGAAAATTCAATGGGTCATGATAATCAACGGTAATAAAGTGAGAAAAAATCAAACAAACGCAACTTTTTCATCGAAATTATTATTATTTCAAATGAATGAATGTTTAATGTAAATAACAAAAAATAAGTATTTGTTTGTTTGTTTTTCAAATGAATATAAATATCTTTGTAAGATTATGATGGATCTAATTATTACGGTGCTTGTTTGTTTTTTGATCATTTTGTGAAATATAATAATGATAATAATAAAGATACTGTTTCCGATGATGGTGATGATGTTTGATGAAATCATGAATGGTAAAAGGCTAATACTATGTATGAATGGAATTTAATTTGAGATGATTATCGAAACTTAAGCATTCTTCTTCTTCTTCGTTTGTTTTGTTTCAGGACCATTCGTCTGAAATTCGTCGATTTTTCTGTTTCTGTCCATTAATCATTCGATAATGATTGTAATATTTGTAAAACATATAGGAATATATTGATAATATCAAGATAAAGTGTTAATGCAGCAAATACATAATCTTCAGTTGAAAGTTGATGTTTATGTGTACCGCCAACAATCATTTGTGTATCGATCAATAGAAACTGTTGTTTCCATTTGAAAAAAAAGAACCAATAATTTTGTTATAAATTTACAAACAAAAATTATAGGAAAAAAACACGTTATAGATCGGTGGATAAAGAAAGCAAAAAAAAAGAAACAAAAAAAATAAAGTTAGTAAATCAAAAATAATTCAATGAAAATAATGCTTTTGGATGAAAAGATTTTTATTATTATTAAGCTAAGTGAAAGAAAATGAAAAGATTGGTGAAAATGTAATGTAAGTAGATTGATGAGAAAATGAAATTATTTTTTTTTTATAAAACATTATTAATATGATAATCAATTAAATGAAATAAAAACAAACAAACAAATAATAATTAGCGAAAATCAAAATAGAAATTTTCCTGTGTTAACAACATCGTTATTTTTTCTTCATTTCTTTCATTAGAAAAACAAAAAGGTCGATATTAATTTTGTTGGTCGGTATTTTTTTTTCGTTCGTTTGATTTTAATTTTAACAGCAGAAGAAGCAGCAGTAGCAGCATTCGGGAACAACATGAAAGAATTAGGGTTTCACTAATTCCGATTAGAACCAAGTATTGCTAGAATATATAAGAAGATGTTGATAATATCAAGATAAAGTGTTAATGCTGCGAATACATAATCTTCGGTTGATATTTGCAGTTTATGAGTACCGCCAACAATCATTTGAGTGTCGATTACTAAGAACTGTTTTTTTTTGTGTTCGATGATATCGCAGCAAAATAATGGAAAAAACAAAGAAAAATTAAAATTACAAATAAATAAAATTAAATAAAATAAGAGGGGTTAGTTATCATTGATTGACAAAAAAAAAATATCCCGTGTTTTGCTACTGCTTTTCTTATTTCACTTAGCTTAATGAATATCATAGTAAAACAAAAACAAAACAAAAAAATGATAAAAATCAAAATGTCACTTACCGCTGAGAATAACAATGCTCCAATACATGAATATATCAAATGCATAGTGTTGTTATGTGGGAAAAATATTTTGATGAAACCAAACATCATAAACACAAGAAATATTATAAACATCATTCCATTGAATACGGTGAAATCGATTTTTGTTTGGAACGCAAACAATGTTAAACCAAGACAAATTACACCAGTTATCAATACCGCATAGATGACTATTTGAACTTGATACATTGAAGCTATAACGCCCACCAAAAACGATTGGGCCAATGTAAATAAAAACAAACAAATATAATTATGTGGAGTTTTACGAGCCATATTTCCACAACAAGTCAACGTAATCATTGTAACCAAAACCACACCCCTGTTCCAAAACAAAAATGAATGATGTTGATAATTTTTTTTTTTTTTTTGAATATTATTTCAAAAAACAAAACAAAACTTACAATGCCACAAACATTATCCAGCTGTTTTGTCGGGTCCATTGGACAGCTTTTTCATTAGCTGATAAAGCAACTACAAATCCAAATGTAATAGCAAGTTGAACCGATAAGATTCCATAGACTTTTCGAATGAAACCTTTGGAAGAAAATTATCAAATCAAAAAAAAATCAAATTTATCGATCAACAACAAAAAACTTACCAAGACGAACTGCTTTCGAACCAAATCCATCGAATTGATCAGCAAGACCAGCTTCTGGATTATATTGTTGTGGATTACCAGGATAGGCAGGATATCCACCTTGTGCTGCACCGTATGGTTGTTGTTGATACATTTTTTTTTCTCAAATTAATTTGAAATTCGTTGATTTTAATCAAATTCTCTGTGTTTTCTGTAAAAAACCAAATTGAATAAAACCAAATGAGTTGTCTATCGCAATAATAAAGGTAAAATAATTTTAAAATGAAGTAAAAACACACAACAAATACGCAAAAAACAAACAAGATACACGACAACAAATGGAAAAAAAGCAAGAGAAATTTTTAAAAGAAAACACTAGAAACAACGGGATGATACGCGACCGATTTTAAAGCGGCGATGACAACGACAACGACGACTCAACATCATCAAGATTCATATCGACAACAATCGAAAAACCACTACTATTTTATAATTCAAAACTCCTAGCAACAGTAAAAACAAAAAAAATATTACATTTGGTAACAAAAAAAAAATGGATTTTTTTTTATCATTATCAAATGATGAAAAATAACAGAATCAAAAAGCGATGATAATAATAATGATTTACTTGTAAACTCACATTTTGCATATAAAAATACTCTGTATGAAATGGGGAAAAGAAAATTACAATAGCAACGGTACAATAATGAAACATCTCTATGCATTTTTTGTTTGCTAAAATTATAATCTTTAAAAGCCAATGAAATCTAAAAGAAATTAATTGATTGATTAATCGGCGTTTTTTTTGTTTGTTTGTTTTTGCCATTTGAAATGTTATCTAAAAATGATTTCATTGCAAAGAAAACAAAAAACTAGAGCGCAATTTAAAAAGCCATTATGAGTCATCGAAAGGTTGATGTTCAAAATCATCAAATCATAGGATTTTTAAACAAATAAAATGATTATTTCGTGGCTATGCATAATGAATTTTTTCGAATAAAAAAAAACTTTTAATGATGACGTATTACAAAAATACGAAAATCAAAAAGGTAAAATTCGATGGATTAACAAACATTCGAATGAAAACTTGAATTCGAATAAATTCCAAAACAAACAAATTAAGCAAAAGAATATTGACCCAAAAAAAAAACTTACCTGAATATTCTGATAAATGTGTTGATTTTTTCTTCTCGAATTGGGACACCTTATTTGGTAAAAAAGAAAAATTTCTTTTCTGGTTTTATTTTTGTCGAATGATAGTTTTGTCCAAACGATTACATAAACATTCGATTTTTTTTTTTGTTGAGCCAACCACACAAAATGGAAACAAACAACAAACTCCTGATGCAATTGAAATCAATTTCTACCTTAATAGGATCCATTAGCGGGAAATAGCGTTTACATGCATTTCAGGTTGGATTTTTTGTAATTTTTTGTAATTTTTTGTAATTGTGTCGTGGCGCCTATTATCTCTTTCGTTCGTTTGTTTTGATCTTTTAAAAAGAATTTGAAAATTATAATTATGGATTATAATAAAAAATTAAATGAATTTTTAATTGAAATAAAAAATGGGTTCGTATTTTGATCATATTTCCCCCACTTGGAAATTGATTCGATTTTTTGTTTTGTAGAAAAATATCCGGATCATATGATTTAGCCAAACGAACCGTATTATTCGTTCAGGATCTGATTATCAATACTGAATGGACAAAAATTAGGTAATGATGTTGTCCGATGATAAATAAGATAATAATAATAATTCTATATTGTCAATTGTTAGTGATATGATTGAAAAAATACAAGAAATTGGAAAATTGTTTATAAAAATTCAACCAACTGAACCGGTTATTGATAATATGGTTAAAAGAATATTGAAAATAATACGTGAAGAATTTAATCATATACGTGGTGTTCGAGATGATGAAGCATTTGATTCGATTATAAATTTATGGCCACAACAACAACAACAACAACAAAATCAAGATATTGATAATGTTAATATTTCAGTGGTAAAAGATTCAATAAGTATTGCTATTGGTGAATTATTAAGTGAACTTGATACAAGTGGTGAAAATATTGCTCAACAAGCTGATGAACATATCTATTGGGATGAAGTAATATTGACTATTGGACGATCAAAAACTGTTGAAGCATTTCTTAAATATGCAGCAAAAAAGAAAAGAAAATTTCAGGTTATTGTTGCTGAATGTAGCCCGGATAATAATGGTCATGATTTGGCCATAAGTTTGGCTAAAGAAAATATCAACACAATATTGATTCATGATTCGGCTATATTTTCAGTTATGTCACGTGTAAATAAAGTTATTATCGGTACACATTCAATAATGGCTAATGGTGGTATAAAAGCTGTTTCAGGAACATATACATTAGCTTTAGCTGCAAAACAATATTCAGTTCCTGTGGGTATTCAATTTTCTCATTCACTTTTTACAATTTTTAATTTTCATTTTTCAAATCTTTTTTTTCCAGTTTATCGTTTGTACAGGAATGTTTAAATTAACACCAAAACATTTAGCAAGTTATGATCAATTAGCATTCAATAAATTTGAATCATCGGAAAAAGTTTTAAATTATGAATATAGTTATTCAGTTGAATGTCAAGTAATGAATCCGGTATTTGATTATGTACCACCTGAATTGATAACAATTTTTGTTTCAAATATGTAAGTTATTCGATTTTTCGAAAATTTCAAACTTCAAAATCAAATTCTGGTTAACTAATTTTGATTTCTTTTTTTCATCTATTTTCAAAGCGGCGGAACAACACCATCCGATGTTTATCGATTATTGGGCGAACTTTATCATCCAGCCGATGAATTGGCAATTTAAAAAAATATAAATTTTTTATTTTTATAAAAACGATGTTGTAAAATTTGAATAATTTACAATAATAATTACTATTTTAATTACTATTTTACTACTATTTATTTTGGTCGTTTTTTATTTGTAAAAGAATTGATTCTATTTTTTGTTTTTGCTCTTGTACCAAATGATAATGAACGACGATTTGTCATTGTCATTGTCATTGTTCTTGTTAAACTATTACTATTATTACTATTACCAAACCATTTTGAATTTAAAACTTCATTGATGGTAAAACGTTTTTGAAAATCCGGTTCCAACATACCGGATAACAATTGTTTTAAATCATTTGATAATTGTTTATATTGTTGATGTAAACGATAATTACGATTCATTTGATGTGATATTACTATATTTAAATCATCTGAACGAAATGGAAACATTTTTGTTGTTATTATAAATAAACAAATACCACAATTCCAAATATCATATGCCATTGGATTGTATGGTATTCTAACCGGTTGTTTTTCGGATTGAAATGAGTTATTCGTAACTTCCTTTTCAAAGCAAGAAGAAAAATTTACTTACTTTCGACCAACTTCAGGTGGATAATATAAATCAGTACCACAATAATCTTCGCATAATTTTTTTTGATGATCATCATTTGTTGATGATGATGGCCATATAATTGATAAACTAAAATCACAAATTTTCGGCTGATTATTATTTGTAAGTAAAATATTATCCAATTTAAGATCACGATGTGCAATATGATTATTATGCATATGTAATAAACCATTACAAATATCACGAAACAGTTTTTTTGCTGATTTTTCTTTCAATTTACCATTTTTTAATATTTGATCAGTTAATGTACCATTTTCAACAAATTCCATAACAATAATATAACCATTTATTGGTTGATCAATATTGAATGCTTCAATAAAACCAACAATATTTGCATGTGGTTTATCATTCAAAATTCGAATGATATGTACTTCGTAACGTAGAAAATGATTACGATAATAATTTGAACATTTATTATAATTAATAAATTTTATAGCAACAAAATGATTTGTTTGCAATTGTTGTGCTTTATAAACATTTGCATATGATCCAGAACCAATAAGATTATTAATACGATAACCATGTTCAATGATTTGTTGACATTCACGAATTATTTCTTTTTGCAATGAATCTTGTCGTTGTAATGATTGTTTTGGTGGTGGTGATGTTGGTGGTGGTGGTGGTGGTTGTTGTTTATTATTGTCAACCATCTAAAGTTGGTTAAAGACGGTTGGTAAAACGACAAAATGAAATTCAAGAAAATCATTGAAGAAATTGGGGAAATTTAAATAGTAAATTCAATGTTATTGTTTTTTCAACGAAAAATGGTTTTATTCAATCAAATTATAAAAGAATGTATGCATTTTTTACAAAAATCAAATGAATCAAATAATAAAATAAAATATTTCAAACTTTGAACAAAAAATAAAAATAAAATTGCTGGTAATTTGAATTTTAATAGGAAATAACCGGTCCTTCTGTTACACCATCTTTATTCGGTAACATTGTTGTAATATCGATTTCATCATCAATTGGTTCATAAACAGTTGAAATGATACTTAATCGTGTACCATCGCCGGATTGATTAATAACTCTTTCTTTTTTACGAAATCGACGACCACCAATCAAGATTTCTGATTCAGTTGTACCATTATAATTATCTGGATAATTATTAATGGCAGTCATTGGAAAATTTTGAAACATTTGTTGTGTATGTGATAACATTTGTTGCATCATTTCTGTTTTAATGAGAAAATGAAAAAAAAAATATTAGTCTTTATACGGATTGGATCAATGATAATGGAAAACACAAAACTTACGTTCAAACATTTGTAAATGTTGACGACCGGTAAACAATTGTGGAACATGACCAGAAAATTTGAATATATCTTTATTCGGATTATAATCAAATTCAAGAAAATCTTTACCACCTTTTTCATTTGTTGCAATTTCATTACTAAAATCTTTAACAGTACGATGTACATCATCAGCCGATTCACCTTCAGCTATAATTGTACTTTCTTTAGCCGGAACAATTGGATCATTTTCACGTTCAATCGAACGTTTATAACGTGCATAAATATGTTTAGCATCACCACCATTGACAATCAACAGCATCAAAATGGCGATCGTAAACATTGACAATTTTGTTGGAAACATCTTGTTTTGGCGAAGAAATAAAATTTGTAACGCGAAAAAACAAAACGAAAAGCAAATTTTTTGATTTTAGAAAATTTTTTTTCTTTCTTAATGTTCGATGCAGATACAGACAAACGAGTGAAAGATTCGAATTGAAAATTCGAATGTATTTATACGATAAATGCGCTGGGCGGACGGATGGTATGAAAATTCGAACGTAAACAACCAACCAGCCAAACAAATGGGGAAGGTAATTGATGATTAGAAATCAAAAGAAAAATGTATATGTTTTGCATATACAAAACTGTGTTTACATTTTCAAATGTCACAATCAAATGATGATGATGATGATGATAATGAATCAAGAACCAGCCCTCTAAAATGCTTGTTAGTCAAGTTTTTTATTTTCAAATATCCGTTTTCTGGTTGCTGGTTGATTGTTTGTTTGTACAACTGCATCTACAAAACCAAGAGAGAGAAAAAAAATCTATTTATGTTTTTAACCACCATCGATGCTGATGATGATAATAATCATGATAAATATTGAAAAATATTCAAAGATGGCTTATCATTGTTGTTGTTTTCCGTCATGAAGGCTGTATATCATTCGTCATCGTCATCAAATTGAAATCAAACTAATCAAGTAAAAAAAAAACATTGATTTGTTATCAACATTCGAAAAAAAACATTATAGGAATTTTTTGTTTTCCTTCGTTTTTTGACAAATTTTGTTTTTTGATTTTCAATATTTTCAACCCACCACCACCGCCAATGATAACAATCGAAAACCGGGTAATAATGGTGAATCATTTTTTGGTTGATTTGAATCAAAATTTCGATCCTGTTTTCTCCGATCTGTCTCTCTTGATTGATTTAATCAACCAAAAGAAAACAAAACATGTCAAAAATATGTTTGTGTGTTGCTATAGCCGAAAACCAAATATTTATCCTTGAAAAAAAATCACCAAAAAATTTGTTTTTGGGTTTTTTGGCCATCATCATCATTGTTATATAATTATCCTGATTGTCCATTTGATTAATGATCAACAATGATGATGATGATGATATCAAAGGTGTAATCAGGATGCAATCATTCATTCACAATGAGAGAGAGAGGCAGACAGGTATTATTATCATTTTTTTTTTTTTTTTGGTTGCACAACAACAATTTAATGATTGGCTGTTGTTTGCAAAATTATTGCCTATTCTGTGTTTGCCTGAGATTCTAATCGTTTTGGTTGAATAGTTTTTTACTAACCAGGTTTCCCAGCCAAAGTTTATTATCATTCAATTGAAATCAGCGAATGATGAATGGCAAAACAAAAAAAAAACATTATATAACTTTGACGATTGGAAATAAAATTAAAAAAACAAACCGCAACCATGTTTATCACTGAAGAAAAAATTCGATCGAAACATCTAGAAATATGGTGTATCGAGGATGTTCAAGATAAATCCAGAAATAAATGAATGAATGAATGAAGCAAAAACAAATAAAATTTTATCAAATTTTTTGATTGAAAAAAAAAGATTATTATTTTCGAGATATTTCATCCGGGTTTCATCAAAACAAAACAAATTTGTTTTTTTTTCTTTATTTATTTGATATCAAAACGGGAAAAAAAGAAAACTAAAATACATCAATTTGTGACCTAAAATTATTTAAAATGATGGAGGGAGTACATTTTTGATTCGAATGTTTATTTGATTCGAATGTTTTGATTCGAATGTTTGTTTTTTACAGGAATAACAATGAATAACAAAATTTATGCATAACCCAATGATTTTTGTTCATTCCAAATTTGCCATAAATGATTCGGATCATGAAAACCATGTGAACCAATTAATTTGGAAAATTTTTTCCAATCATATTTTAATGAATAAAATGATATTTGTTGTTTTAAATCAATCAATTTAATATTCATACGATATGCTAATATACCCAGATAAACATCATCATATTTAAATGATTCACTATAAAGACTTGAATAATAAAGATCGATTAAAGTTTGATTATTGACTAGAAAACAACCACCAGTTATATATGGTGGATATTGATTCCATTCATATTCATTTAAACTAATATACCATTTTGATGTTAAATGTCTTAATGGATGTGAATTTGGAAATAAATAACCAACATATAATCGACCATCATATTGTTGTCGATGTTGAAGCCAATCAACTTGTGCTTGTTGTATATCTTGATTATCACTTAAATCCGAATCATCAAATTGTTCGGTTGTTGGTTCCATTATAAAACGTAAATAATTTCGTGAAAATTTAAGTAAATTTTTTATCGATATATAATAATCATCATCAACAAATAAAATAAATGGCACTTGATTACAATTTTTTGCTGTCCATTGTAATGATGACATTGTTTTTTTTGTATTATTATAATAGGAATCAATAAAATCAGCTTGTACTATATCCCGATAGAATTGATTTTCAATATCGATTAATCGTTGACAATCGATTGTTTGATTTTGATTAAAAATTTTAATAAATTTTTGTGATTTCCGAGTAAACATTATTGTTGTTGTTGTTGGATGATGTTCATTTGGACAATCGATTGATGAACATTCACCCAACATAAAAACTGTTCGAATTTTTACATCACTAAAACGTTGTTCATTACCCCATGTTTGACGGATTATAATTCGTTGTAGAAAATTACAAGTTGCACTTTTTATCACTAATAATAATGTTATTGGGGAATTATTATTATCGAATGTTGAATTTTTTTGAAAATTATCTTGTTGTTGACATTTATACACAGGATTCAAATGATAATGAAATGAATAATTATTAATCGGTTTCAAAGCATTTTCGGATAAATTTTGTTTAGCACTTTCAATAAAATAACGAAAATCTTTTGAATAAATTGGATAATGAAAATTTTCTTCATTGAATGTTGTTTCGAATGGATAAACAAATACGCCACCAATATACATTGATATCAATATGATTATGGAAAGGCAAACAATGAATATTAAACGTAAACGATTACGAAAACGAAATTTTATCCAATGAATTAATGAATGATAACGATGATGGTGATGATGGTAACGATGATAATGTGGATTATAAGTTGATTCAACGGGAAATTCATATTGAAATCCTTTTAATTTGGGAAGAAAATTTGATGATTCGATTACGGAAATAGATAGATTCATTATGCAAATTATACATACTTTGAAAGAAACCTGGTGACATTTTTTTAAAATGAGAATTTAAACAAGGAAATCAAATCAGATCAGAACAAACAAACAAATGAAAGTTTTCAGATTTTAAGATTTATATCACATTCGATTATGTAAGTATTTATTTTTCCGGAAAAATTATTCGCGACAAACTTTTTAATTATAAATCCACATTCATTATCTGATTGAGCAAAAACATTTAACCGAACCAAAAACAAAATTCGTCAACACAGCTGGTCCTATCTTGTTACACGGCTACACCAAAACAGAAAAACAGACACAAACATTCTTCATTTATCATGATAAATGAAGCAAAACAGAAAAAAAAATTTTTCTTCAGCAATTTTAAGCGGTTACGTCCTTTATTGATTGGATTTTTTTTTCTCATTCGATTCTTTGAATCATCACCGCCGTTCACATGTTTTTTTTTTCAAATTCTTCATTTTCGTTTTTTGTTTTTGTGATTTTATTCAAGATTCAGCATTAGTTGTTCCGGGCAGAAAATGGAAGAAAAAGAAGCTAAAAATCCAACCGATATAATATATGGTCGATTAGGTTCAGATTTATCATGTCAATCTGATGATGAAATGAATGAATTAAAACCAGTCGAAGTTATTGTTGAAAAAATGGATAATATTTTAAATGTAATCTATCAGAATATGATGGTTGGTGAACATTTTACTGATATTTCAAAATTGAACGTAGACAATTCATTCATCTTGATTTCTAATCACATTCATCCATCAATGCGTTCAAGTTTCGTTACCAAATTCAACCGATACGAAGATATTCCCAATAATGTTTCAAATTATCTAAATCCTCATCATGGTCTTGCAAATAGTCTTGCCATTCGTAATCAATCAGAAGATTCATCAACCAGAATTTTTGTCGGATTCGATTCTGGTCATATTTTAATGTTTGATCCAAAACTTTCTTTACTATCGACTAAACAATTTGGTCATAATATTATTACAAAAATTGCTTTAAGCCCTCAACAAAAACAAGAACGTCTTGTTTGTGGTGATCAAGATGGTCGATTAGTTTTAATAGATATTGATAAAGATATGGAATCTATTAGTTATTATGATAATGCTCATTCTGATCCAATCAATGATCTAGTATTTTGTTCGAATGGTTGTGATAATAAAATCATAACAGCAGGTGGAGATCATTCAATATTATTATGGGATTTTCGAATTTCACGTACTGATCGACCAGCTTTAACCATAGCACAAGTTAATAGCCAACCTACAGCATTGGATTGGCCAACCGAACATGAATTAACATTTGGAACTGAAGCAGGTAATCTGGTTCGTTTAGACCTACGAAATTCGGATAAAGTTCTACAAAAACTTAGTTTATTCAACAATCAAGATGAATTGGATATGAATGTTGTACAAATTCGTCCCGTACGACAAAATCTTATTTGTGTTTTAACAGCACATCAACATTGGCTTTTTGAACGTCAAAATCTGGATAAAATAATTGATAATTATTCCGAATATTCGGAACGTGTTCATCTAAAAAGTTGTCTTGCAATTGATGATACAGATTTATTAATAATTGGAAATAATTTTAATTGTTTTCGTTATCCAAAAATTTTGTTGTAATGTTTTTATAATTTTGGAAATTTTCTAAATAAAAATTTTTAAAAAATTTATAACAAAAAAAAACATCGATTATATCGATAGTTGTCGTCCGGTGATTTGCATCTGAAATTGTTCGACCGACCGCCAAACATCAGCTGGTGTGTTCATTGGTTCGATGTTTTTATAAATTTTAATTTCCGAAACAAAAAACCGGATCCAAAAAAGATTTCAACAAGGATCTATTTCAGATGGAAAAATGCTGATAACATTGGCTACCAGAATATTACATCATCGATATTATAAAGTTTTATATTCAAAATCGATTGCCGATTATTTGATCTTATCGATCAAACACGATGGCCAATATAATGCACAACAATATCGATGTTTAGCATCATCATTTTTTCGAAATCCAACAAAAATTGAATCATATTTTAGTGCGATAGGAGGCGAATCGGATGATCCACCACCAGATCTAACCCCCGAGCAAGTAATTGACCCTTTTGTCTTACGATCTTTAAAATCAAGACGAATTTCGTTCCCTTGAACTTATCAGGTTACAGCCATATTACGAACGAATGAATCGTTGGTCCTGAACAATGCTATTGCAGCTGAAAACATTCGATTTTTGGAGAATTTTCTTGATGTTCTGGAATCGAAAAAATTTGCCAAAAATAAAAAATTCGAAGCCATTCGAAGAAAACAACGACGAATCATATCTTCGGAAAATCAACCACAACCAAAAAAATTATATTCATTAATTGATCATCCATGGATTTCACAGATTGAATCAAATCAATTGGCCTCGAATCATCCAATCGAAGATCGATTACGTGTTTCGACCATAAATTTAGATGATGATGAAGATAATCGTGCAACTATATTCGGTGTTTTTGATGGTCATGGTGGTGGATTCTGTGCCGATGTCATTGCTCGACGTTTGTTTCATTATATTGCAATTGGATTGAAAGCCAAACACATCAATTCAACGCAATCAAAAGAAATGGCTACAATCGATACGAATAACATTGCCAAAATAGTTTCCGATCATTCATTATCACCTTCAAATTTTTATCATAATATTCATTCAATATATGAAGCTGAAGTTGCACGAAGATTACAATCTAGAATTGAAGAATTTGAAAAAGATGCTTTGCAAAAATTTGCTATCGAAGAATTGGAAGATAATTCTCCGGTATCAACAGATGATACAATCAAATCAATTTTAGAAAGAGCTTTTATACGCTGTGATCAAGATCTTAGTCATGAAATTGAAACAAATTTAACTAATACTACATCAAATCTATTGTTACATTATTATCATTCACTTTCTGTTTCGGGTTCTTGTGCTTCAGTAGCTCTAGTCATTGGTAATAAACTTTATATTGCTTCAACTGGTGATTGTCGTGCTGTAATGGGTTTGCTTCGTGTAGATGATCAACACCAACAACAACATAATAATCAATCAACAACAAAACAACGATTATCATCATTGGAAAAGAAACAAAAACTTCGTGTTATTGAATTATCACGTGAACATAATTCAGATAATGTTAATGAATTAAATAGAATATATTCTGAACATCCAAAAGAAGAACATAATTATATTATACGTGAACATCGTTTATTAGGACAGTTAATGCCATTACGTGCATTTGGTGATTTTTCATTTAAATGGTCAGTTGATAAAATGAAACAATTAGGTTTAACACGTGCATTTGGTAGTCATATTATACCTACATTTTATCGTACACCACCATATCTAATTGTTCAACCTGAAATAACAATGTTTGATTTAGAACAAGACGGTGATATGTGGTTAGATCGTTTTGTTATAATAGCAACTGATGGCCTTTGGGAACAATTTGAATCATCACGTAAAGTTGTTAAAGCTGTTAATCGTTACCGGCAAAATCTTGGCCAACAAATTATGGCATATAGATCTGCACAAGTGTTTGAAATTGAATCAAAAAATAATAATGATGATCAATCATCATCATCATTAACACTACAGGAGATTGTTGATCGTCTAAGTAAACAGGTAAAAAATGGCCCCATTACAACGTTCAAACGTGTTACAGCCGATGATGATCTTATTGAAGATATAAATTGTGGTACATTTTTATTACGAACTGCTTTAAGTGAAATTTCTGTTAATGAACCAATAGTACCACGACCGAATATTGGTAGAATTTCTGAATCTGATCCATTATTAATGGAACAAGAAGAAGAACGTGAAAAATTTTCACATCATGTTGATCAAATTGAACAACAAAAACGACGACATCAAAAATTAGTTTCATATTTAACATTACCAAAATCGGTTGTACGTAATTTTCGTGATGATATATCATTGATTGTAATCGGTCTTAAATGCAAAAAGTGATGATTTTCCTTCTTTTCATATGTGTAAAAAGTTGTTGTTGTTGTTGCAATGTTTTAAATGATTTGAATTTTGTCAGAAATTAAAAAAAAAATTTCAAATTTCAAATTTTTTTTGAAAATTTTTTGTGTCTATTTCAACCGAATAGGTGGTGATTGATGATCACGTGATCATACATGATACGTTGATTGATTGGCCACACCTTTTCGGTTTGTGTTTCGCTTAAATTCTCATCCAAAAAATCGAATAATTTTTGGTTTTTCCAAAATCGAATCATGTCTGATAATGATTCTGTTGAACTGATTTCATTTGAATCGAATACGAATGATTTACGAAAAAGAAAATCCGATCAAAATGATGATTATGAAACCGAAGAAGCTAAACAAATTCGTAAAATAATTGAACAACATTGTGGTGTGTTTAAATTTTCAACAAATATAAAATTATATTGTAATTTTTGTCAATTAGAACTGTACGATTATAGTGATGAAAATGTACAAAAACATTTATATGATGTTGGACATTTGGAAAATTTTCTAAAAAATCCATCGAAAATAACAACAACAACCACTAATAATAATAATAATAATAATCGTAAAAGTCGATCACCAGAAATTTTTAATGGTAATCGTTGTATAACATTGGTTACAAATGAATTAGTTTTAGTAAGTGATGATGAAGATGAAACTGGTGATCCGGAAACAAATAAAATCGATATTGTTATCAATGCATATCAATCTGGGATATTGGCAAATAGAAAATTTGATAAAATTCATTGTATACCATGTGATTGTGAATTACGTGATTCATTATTGTTGGTGAAAAAACATTTACTAAAAGATCGTTTACATTTAAAAAATATGCTGAAAATTGAAAATTCATTAAAACAATCATCAACAAGTGATAATCAAGAATTGATTATTGGTTCGAAAAAAATTAAAGAATTTGTTGAAAATAATTTCGAATGTCTTGAATGGGATGGACCGGCAATGATTCATTGTAAAGTTTGTCATAAAGTTATACAGGCTAAACATCATAATCTTGTACGTCATTGTCAACGACGATCACATAAATCACGTCTTGAATTATTACTGTCGGGTGATAAATCAATTTCAACAGCAGATAAAATTTTTAGTGAACAAATTCAAATGGAAAAAGAAAAATTAAAAATATTAATTGAATCAAATCAAGATTGTTTATTAGTGCATTCGAATCAAATTTATTGTCGTTTATGTACAAAAATTATTGGTACAAAATATAATAATGTTTTACGTCATCTAAATCGTTCATTACATGTTACACGTAAAAAATCAGCCGAAAATGTTAATGATTCGAATGATTCGATGAATGATGATCAACAGCAATCATCATCAACAGCAACAACAAATTTACAGGAAAATGTTGAAAAAATATTTGAAAATTTATTACAAAAAGAACAAAATCGTATGAATCGTTTAATGGCAAAACATTCTAAACATTTAGTATTCTATAATCAATGTGAAAATATTCTTTGTAAACCATGTAAACGAATTATGTTAGCAAAATATGTTAATATACATAATCATTTACGACGACAATGTCATAAGGATAAAGTTGCAATATATGATCAATCGGAATCAGAATCGATAAATTCAAATTCAACAATGAAAATTATTGAATTAACGGATGACAATATTGTTTCGGAAAATGAACATGAATCTGAACAGAATCTGAACGATTCGGTCGAAACCATTGGCCAAGAACAAGTTATATTCATTGAACAAATATCTATGGGTGATCTCAATTAATGTATTTTTAAAAAAAAATAAACTCTTTATTTTTATTAATAATAAAATATCACAAAAAAAATTATAATTATGGACTATAAGTGAGCTGATTATTAGCGCTGCTATTAACCATTGTATTTGTCAATGATGATGATGATGATGAATATGATGGTATGACTGGTGTATTTTGATTTTTTCCATTTTTTTTCGTCTTACAAATTGGACATAGTTTCTGTTGTTGAAATAGCTGTTTTTCCATTTTGATATTATTATCATTATTATCGAAAAAATCTAAACAAGATGTATGGAAAAGATGTGCACATTGAAAAAGTATATATTCACCATAGGTGGTAATTGTTGTTTGATGATGTGTAGAAACACCCGGTATTTGACATGAATAACAATAACGTTCCGTATCACGAACAACCACTGCTTTTGAACGCATCCGATACATTTTACTAAATTGTTGATAACAATCAGAATTTAATACTCTACGACAACCATCTTCTAATGTAACCATTAAACGATAATCTTGTAGAATTTGTACTAATGATGGAACTAAATCCGGAATCGTTTCACCTTCCGGTATTCTTGAGATCAATGAAATTGGATCAGTAGCATTTGTACCAACTTCACGTAATAATTTGGATAATAAATTTGGTTTCGAAACAGAAATATCCATTAATTCGGCCCATAGATCAGCATCACCATGTTCTTTACAAAAATCTATTGCCGCATTTATATCATCAGTTTTATCGATAATAATACGTAATGCTTCATGTGTATTACCCATACGACCTAATATAAATACTACCGCCTTGGTTAGTTGTTGTTTTTTACAAACTTCTAATGCTTTTTCCAATTGAATATAATTTGATTGTCGTAAAAATGGAACAATACGATCGGGAACATGTTTAGCATAAAGATCAAATAGTAAATCATGATAAAGTGTACAGGCAGTAGGATCACGTTGTATCAAACGATCCAAATAAGCACATAATAATCTTGGATGTTTACGTAATCTTTTAATAACTTTATCACATGGTATTGAATCTTGATTTTCAATCAACAGTCTTGATGTTTCTTCAGCATCCAGCTCTAATAATTCAACAAAACGATCTTCTAACAAATGTAAAAGTCTATGTTTCCATATTAAATCAAATACACGTTTAGCATTACCGGTTTGTAAGAATATAAAAAAAGCTTTTTGATAATGACATTCATATGTATACATTTCAGCTAATGATTCTAAAAGATTATGATCTTGTTGTATTTGTGATGATAATTTTGTTGTTAGATGATTAATCATTGAATTTGTTGAATATAAATGTGGTGGTAATGATTTGATTGTACGTAAAAAACCTTGTGAATCATCTTGATCTAAAAATTCCACCAAAACCATTTCATATAGATGCGGTGCAAGAAGACGTTGATTATCTAAACCAATCGGTAAATATTTAGCTAAAACACGTAGACAATTATATTGTCGAAATAAATTCAATTGAATTTCCCAAAGATTCCAATTTTCTAGACAAAGTTCATGACAAAGTTTACCCGCTTCTTCACAAGAATCGATTGTTGATTCAATCAACAGGTGTTTAATAAATAATTGTCCAACACTTTCATATGTATGTCGTAAACATTTATGTTGATTAATTTTCATACGTTGAAATGCATGACGAAATTTTTTACGACTTAATAGCCAATCAATTGAATCATCTTCTTCGCGAGGCCGGGCAATTATCAAATCACGTGGACAAATAATTAAATATGCATTTTCTTCACGATAATAAATCATTTGAATATCACGTGTTTTTTGTACTGTTTTTAAAAATTCATTTGGTGTTAGAATATCATCAGAAATATCGGTAAAAATATCAGCATTTTTTGGTTCAACCATTTTTATTCGTACTAATTTTTGATTTTCATTCAATGTTGTTGAATCATTTGGTATTGAATCATCAACACTTGGATATAGAAATGATTTTTGTGTACAAAGAATCAATAATCTATCTTGTTCGAATGGTGCAACACCACATGCAATAAGATGTGAATCAATGTTGAACGAATTGACTGAAAAATAATCGAAGAAGAGAAAAAAATCGAGTTAAAACTTTGTTTTTGGGCAGTTTTGTTACTACAAACCTAATTCAACATAATATTTACGAATACGTTCTTGCGATATAACGGCCTGAGTTAATGAAAGTTCTGAATCATAATTTCTTTGTCGTATGTTACAGATTTTGATTGAATTACCCCATGATATTAATAATGTACGATTATTACGCCATTGAAAACTACATTGATAAAGATCAAGTTTAATACGATAATCATTTTCTTTATCACGATCTAAATGTGTAATAATTGTTTTTGTTTGTGAATCATAAATTTTCAGACAAAGATCCGATGCCCAAACAATAAAATTTCCATTCCAATTGGCCAAACGAACAACACCACGTGCCTGTTGTAAACATGTTGCACGATATCTTCCCAGAAGATTTTTTTCAAAAAATAATAAACGATCAGCTTCACCAACAACAAAACGACGTGAATTTAATGTTCCATATTGTGGATCAATAGCTAATGCTTTTACAGGCCTTTCGAATGTTGTACTATAATGTGGTTCACCAATTGTGTACAATTCTTGTATACAAACACGATAATCCGAACATGATGCAAGAAAATCTGCTCGTTCATCAATGCTTATCTGATTTATTGGTGATTGATGCTACCAATCAACAAAATAGCGATGAATTCAATGCTTGAAAATTTGAAAAAAACTTACCAAATTATTCAATGTATTCGAACAATTAAAACCATCAATATTCAGCACAAACATTTTACCGGATTGTGTTCCTATAACAAAAAACTTTTCAAATAAATAAAAAAAAACAGGTAAGATTCGAAATATCCCAATAAATTCATTCGAAATTTCTAACTTTTTCATGTGTTGCTATTGATGTAATGGATTCAGTTTTCAATATGTTCGATACATCACCTCTAATACGTGAATAGGTAAATTTTGGTTCATCATCATCATCGTCATCATCATCTTCATTATCATCATTTTGGATTCCATTATGATGATCATTTGTTCCATCATGTCGATTATCATCAATTGTCATTGTCGATGTTGTCTAACAAAATGTATTTTCATCAATCAAAACTAAAAAAAATAACAAAATGAAACTCCTACCTGATTAGGCAAAATTATTGATGGATTAGTTTCATCATTAAGATAAATTGTTGATTCACTTTCAACACAGGAATCCGTATCCATTTGATCAAAATTCGTAAACAAAACAAAAAAAATTGGAAAAATAAAACAAAACAAAAAACTCATCAGGGCATCCAAAATGATAACAAACAAACAAACAAATTTCAACAATCAAAGATAAATAAAATAAAAAAAAATTTCAGAATGAATGAAAAACATTGTTTATTTGAGAAAAATGAAAACAATCCAATATTTGAGTTAGTGCGCAGTCGTCACTCTTTTGTTGGTTTTTTAATTTCGAATCAATTTTTTCGCGGTTTACAAGTTACCATGGTTTATCAGTCATAATCAACCTAACCTCACTCAACCATCAATCATAGTCATAGTCATAGTCATCAACCTAACCTCACTCATCTATAAGATCAAAGTTAGGGTCATAGTCATCAACCTAACCTCACTCAACTATAAAGTCAAAGTTATAATCATGGTCATATTTTTTTAACCAACCTAACCTAACTGAACTATGGCTAAAAATATGAATTTTTTTTTGATGAATTTCTTCGCCACCAGATGGATCACCCGATTTTTTTTTTGAAACAAAAGTTAGCATTTGTTGAAGAATGGATAAAGGCGGAGCTTGTGTATAATGGTTGAAGAAGATTTTTCCCTCCAAAAATCTGTTGAGTTTAACCATCCATCACACTCACTTGAAAATTAAAGCTTATTGTTTAAAGTTTTTGAAATTTTTTGAAATTTCCTGACGATAATTCGGTATATTGTTTTTTTCTCTTGGCAAAAATGGCTTTACTACATGATCTTGGTGATAATGATACTGCTGAACAACGTGAAAAACAATCTCAATATTTAGATTTTCTTGATGATGAGGTATTTGATTGATTGATTGATTGAAATTGATTGATTTAACATTTTGATTTTTAATCTAATCTTTTCAGAATGATCAAGGTTATTATGCTGAAGCTGTTAAACATATGATTAAAACACAACAACAACGTTTAATTGTTAATGTTAATGATTTACGTCGAAAATTACCATTACGAACAAAATGTTTAATTCGTTCGGCAATCGAAGAAATTGTACTGTTTCAAAATGCACTTCGTGAATATATCAGTCATCAGGCACCAGATTTTGCCGATAATTTTGATGAATTTTTAATCGGTTTAGAAGGTAGTTTTGGTTCACATCATGTTACACCACGTAATTTATCATCAATATTTTTGGGATCTATTATTGCTGTTGAAGGTATTGTAACAAGATGTTCATTAGTACGACCGAAAATTGTTCGTTCAGTTCATTATTGTCCGGTAACCAAAAAAAAGCATGAACGTCGTTATACAGATTTAACATCATTATCAGCTTATCCATCCAGTTCGGTTTATCCAACCAAAGATGAAGATGGTAATCTATTGGAAACTGAATTTGGTCTTTCTACATACAAAGATCATCAAATACTTTCGATACAGGAAATGCCGGAAAAAGCACCAGCAGGTCAATTACCTCGATCTGTTGATATTATTGCCGATAATGATTTAGTTGATATTTGTAAACCTGGCGATCGTGTACTTATTGTTGGACCTTATCGATGTCTGCCCAACAAACAAGGTTATTATACATCGGGAACATTTCGTACGGTTGTTTTGGCTAACAATATTAATCAATTGAATAAAGAAGTTTCAACTGTCGACTTGATGCCCGAAGATTTACAACGTTGTCAACGATTTTCACGACAAAAAAATGTTTTCGAAGTTTTAGCTCGATCATTAGCACCATCCATTTATGGACATGATTATATTAAAAAAGCATTACTTTGTATGTTGCTTGGTGGTTTGGAAAAAATTCTACCCAATGGTACACGTCTTCGTGGTGATATCAATATCTTATTGATTGGTGATCCATCCGTATCGAAATCACAATTATTACGTTATGTATTGAATTGTGCACCAAGAGCTGTTGCTACTACTGGTCGTGGATCATCGGGTGTTGGTTTAACAGCTGCTGTTACACATGATCCAGAAACTGGTGATCGTCGTTTAGAAGCTGGTGCTATGGTTTTAGCTGATCGTGGTGTTGTTTGTATTGATGAATTTGATAAAATGTCCGATATTGATCGTACGGCTATTCATGAAGTTATGGAACAAGGCAAAGTAACCATCACCAAAGCTGGTATACAGGCACAATTGAATGCACGATGTTCAGTATTGGCAGCTGCTAATCCAGTTTATGGTCGTTATGATCAATATAAAACACCGAATGATAATATTGGAATGCAAGATTCATTACTTTCACGTTTTGATTTATTATTCATAATGTTGGATAAAAATGATATTGAAAATGATACAGAAATTTCTGATCATGTTGTTCGTGTACATCGATTTCGTCCACATGGTGAACAAGATGGTGAACGTAAGTTAAACAAACGTGGGGAAAACAATTTTTCAAAACAACAATTTCTCCCCTTTTGCTCACTCTTTAGCACTTCCTATTATTACAAATGCTGATTTTCTTTCAACCAAAATGAATCAAACAAAAATGGATGATGAAAATGAATCTGGACAGGATATTTATGAAAAATATGATCCATTACTTCATGGAAAACGTAAACGAAAGTAAGTTATTCTAGATGATTAATGTTTTTTTGAAAAAAATTACTAAATTTTATTCGAAATAGTGAAAAATTCGTTACTATGAGCTTTATGCGTAAATATGTTCATTTAGCTAAAGCTATCAAACCACAATTAAGCCAAGATGCTATTGATATTATTGCTGAAGAATATTCAAAACTTCGTACTTATGATTTAGAACAAAATGATCTTTGTCGCGTAAGTATCATGATGATTAAAATATCTTCTTTTTTTAAATGAAAATTTTTATATTTGTAGACACAACCGATAACGGCTCGAACATTAGAAACATTGATACGTTTATCAACTGCTCATGCAAGAGCTAGACTTTCAAAATCAATTGATGTGGTTGATGCTAAAGCTGCCGTAGAAATGGTTCAATTTTCACATTTTCAAAAAGTATTGGAAAAACCTGGAAAACGTAAACGTCGTATCGATGATGAGGATGATGAAGAAGATGAAGATGATGAAATTGAAGATGAAATGGATGATGATGATGAGAATGATGTTTATGCATTGCGTTTCGATGATGATGATAAAAAACCAAGAAAATCACGTCATATTGATCAAGATGAACCAATGGATATTGGTGAACAAACAACAAAATTGACAACAAAAATTGAAGTATCAATGACAGCATCGCCATTGACCGAAATGCCCGATTCACGATTCAAAGAATTTCGACAATTTTTATATAAAATATTTCGTGAACATAAATTATCAAGTTTAAATATGGATAAAATTTATAAATCCTGTGAAGAAGAAGGTAAATCAAAATTTACTCGTGCTGAAATTGATTTTGCATTAGCCAAAATGAATGATTTGAATCAGATATTCATTTCAAACGATATGGTCATTTTGATTTAATTGAAAAAATTTCATTGCATCCGATTTTTTTTTAAACTTTTTTTAAAATTTTCATTTTTTCAAAACTTGATTTCATTTTTCAAATTCTAATTAAAAATTCCATTACGATATTTATGGATGCGTTTCGAATCTTTTTTTTTTGTGTGTGTGTTTTTGTTCTGATCATCGATGATATTCTTTGATGGAAAAGGAGAATGTTCTGATTTGATTTGATTTAATTTGATTTGAGAAAAGATTACAAAAAACGAAATTGAAAATAATTTAGTCTTTCACGATAAATTATGTGCATAAATTCAACAACAACAATCATTACACGATCTTGCGTTCGTCGCCTTTATAAAGATCTTTTGCGTTTTGGTCGTAACGAATTGCAATATACTGATAAAAATTATTTTTATAATAGAATTCGTAAAGAATTTGATGCCAATAGAAATCTTGATCGTAACGAAGATATTGAATATTATTATAAGGTAATTCCAATTTTCTAAAATTAAAAGAAATTAATTGAAAAAATTATAATTTTTTAGAAAGGATTAACTTTATTACAAAAACGAGCATTAGTTTGATTTATTCAAATGTTTTTTCCCAATTATTATCATCATCAAATTTTCAACATTTTATCAAGAAAATTTCAAAATTCTATCATTGTTTCAAATTATTTTCCCCGAAAAACAATACATTCAAGTCAAATTTATCAGAAATTTATTCCGGATAAAAGTCGTTTACCAATATTGAATGAAAACGATTTTGAAGAACAATTTGTACAAGGAAGTGGTCCTGGTGGACAGAATGTAAATCGTTTACAAAATTGTGTTGTACTTAAACATATACCAACCGGTATTATTGTTAAATGTCATCAACAACGTTTATTACAACAGAATCGTAAATTAGCAAGAAAATTAATGTTAGAACGTTTAGATTTACATTTTAATGGACCGGATTCAATTGTTGAACAAAAAAAACGTTACATTCTTCAACGATTAAATGATCGTGAACAAAAATCTTCGGAATTACGTTTGAAAAAATCTGAATATCAAAAACTATATCAACAATCACGTCAACAAAACAAACAGCAACAAAAACAACAACAAGAATCATCTGAACAATCAGAATGAATCAAATGCAATAAAACAATCATCATCTTCATATCTTTTGAAAATATTAAAATTAGCCATCAAAACAGAAAAAAAATTCCATTTAAAATCAAGTCATGTTTTATACATGGAAAGAATTTTCTAAATGGTTAAATGTAACATTGTTTGAGTTGTGGATGTTTCTGTTGGCTACATTTGGTTTTTCATTTATACTGATTTGGAAATTGGAAAATCCATTTAATCTTTTGGAAATTATCGGTATTAAACAGCTTAATTGGTGGCATGTATTCTTTCCATATTTTTTAAATGATTCATTAGCTGGATATTTTAATATTATTATATTTATTCGTCAATATCATACCGGTAAAATTCGTCAAGCATTTATACGTTTTATATTTGTAACGGCACGTTTAGGTATGCTTTGTTTAGTGAAAATATTTCTAATTTATAAATTAGAAAATAAATTGGCTGTTAATTATTCGGAAATATTTTTACCATTATTTTTTCTATTGTTCATTTTGATTTGTAGATCTTTTCGTATTTGAATCACACACACACACACACACACACAAAACAAAATCTTATTAGTTAATTCAATTATAGTTTTGTTGTTTTATAAATTGGTTGATTTGAAATAAAAAATTCTTGGTTGTTTATTTTCTTCATTTGTTTATTCTTTTTCTTTTTCTTTTACAAATGACCGATAACGAAGAATCGATAAGATTTTTTAAACCAAAAGTTATCCTGTTCAATATAATTGGTACAATATTACCGATAAATTGGCAAGATGAATGTTTAAAACCATTTATAAATAATAATATTCGACGATTTATTGAAGAAAATTGGCTAGATTCAGAATTTGTTTATGATATGATCACAATACAATTTCAACATGAATCATTTGAACAATATTTTGATAATAATCAAAAAGATTGTCCATTAATATTAAATTTTGATCGTGATCATTCAAATTGGATGGATGTTATTGATTCATGTGAAAAATTTATACATTGGCAAATTAATAATCATATTACAATGTCGGATAGTACATTAGAATTATTACGATTATGTTGGATGGATGGTTATCGTAAAGGTTTGATTAAAACAAAGTAAGATTCGAAATTCTAAAACTGAAATTCGAAATTCGAACGACGCATGATCATTTCGAATCATAAGAATTCGAGTCATAAGAATTTCTGTTTTTTGAAATGAAAAACATTCTTTTTTAAATTTTGTTTTTTGTTTTGTTTGTTTGGTTAGACTTTTTCCGGATGCAAAAACAAATTTAAATCGATGGAAATCGATGAATATTCAATTGGGATTGCTAACATTAAACACTATGAATAAAGATGTTTGTCGATTAATATTATCATCAACTGATGATGGTAATATATCCGATTTATTTGATTATTATATTGATGAACAATCGATTGGTAGTAATCGAACAAAAGATATTGAATTTTGGAAAAAAATTATGGAATTAATGAAAATTACTAATGGAAGTGAAATTCTTTTGATCAGTCATCAAGGAAGAGGTAAATATCTGTTTAAAATTAACCCTTTAAAATCATAACTAATTTTTTCTTTTTTTACAAAAAAAAGAATTAAAAATGGCCAAAGAAAAAGCAAATTTTCAAACATTATTATTATTACGTCCATCGGTTGTTGAATTTCAATCACAACCAAGATCATATTATCTAATACGTTTTTCACATACTGATCGTTTGGAAAAAATTAAATTTGTTTGAAAAACAAATCAATCAAACTGAACAAAACAAACGTTATAATAATAATCATCATAAGACAACGAAAAAGAATAGGCGAAAACCAGCCAACCAACCAACCAAACAACAAAACAATCCCATGTCATTTTATCACGAGTTTTGTTTATGATGATGATGATGAAATAATTTCAAATTGATTTTTTTTCAAATTTTAATTTGCATAAAGAAAAAAAAATGTCTACTACCCCGTTTTATCCTTGTTTTGTCCTAATTGCACTGTGCTTTTTTTTAGTATACTTGATAATTTTTATTTAAATTATCATTTTTCGTTTCTAGTTTTAGCTAAAATGATAATTATTTATTTTCGATCATTTCACAAGCAACAAAATGGACAATAAATAAGAAATGAAAAAAGGATAAGATTGTCAATCAAAAGAAAAAAAATAACAAAGTTCAAAGTATATCCGTGCTTATAACCACATTATAATCATTATCATGATTATCACTTTTTATAATCAAATCAAAATGATTGATTTGTATTTTTTTCAGCAAATCAATCGATCTCAATTGATCAAATCATCAATCACCAATCATCAATACAGATAAGATTTCTGTTGATTTTTTTTCAAAAACAAAAAATTAAGGAAATTGAAAAATGGTCAATTTTTTTTTTTTGGTTGACAACATTTTTTTTTCAACAAAAAAACATTCGATTTTTTTTGAAGAAAAAAATCTGTGTGATTAGGGTAGAAAATATTATTCATTCGAATAGTGTGCACGCAATGGCAAAAAAACATCTACATTTTTTTTCTTTTTCAAGATTTTCTTTCTCTGTTTTCTCAAATTGCTGGTACACATTGTATCCACAACGACGATGATGATGACGACAACTACCATTATCCACCATTATCAACAAAACCACTACGACCGCCGCAATGATATATACAAAAAGATAGATATCATTGCCAAATCATTTTCGGTGTTCAACTTGATAGCAGTTTTTTTATACTTTCATATATAAAAACCTGATTCAAAATCAAAACAAGCAAAAAAAACAACGAGCCATATTCCATTCATTTGCAAAACATCAACAAACAAAACGAAGCAAAGCAAAACAAAGTTGATTTGAAAAATTCAATAACAAAAATTCATTTGTACTTATTCTTGGTGCGCATCAACAGTGTTTGATCGTCCAAATTTCATCCGAAATTTTTGTTATTAAAAAAACTACAACAAACAACAAATTTTTCTTATTTTTATAAGATTTGTTAATTTGAAAAATTTCTCATAACTTTTGAATCTCATATTTTCTCTTTTGGAAGAAAAACTTGATTTCAACAACAATCATGGCTGAATCAACTCAAATATCAATGGTTCGACAAAACTATCACAAAGAATGTGAAGCTGGTGTTAATAAACAAATTAATCTTGGTAAGAAGAATCAAATGATTTTAAAATTAATGAAAATTCCCTGTTTTTAATGGAAAATTTTTTCTTGTTGTTTTTTCTCTTCAAAAATTATAGAATTGTATGCGTCGTATGTGTATCAGCAATTGGTAAATATTATTTGTTCAGATGTTGTATTCAGATGTTTACCCAAAAAAAATCTCAAATTTCATTATCATTCGACAAGTTTTATTTAGGGTCCATTTTTTTCTGTTTGTTTGTTCAAAATCCCCCTATATATCATCATCAATATAGTTTTCAGTTTTTAATGGTAACAAACAAACGAAAAAATCATTCGATTTTTTTCGTTTTCTCATGATATGACTCACGTCATTCATCGCATTATCCATTATTTGTTTGTTATTTTACCGATTAGTCTAATTTTTATTTCTTCCTCGTCGTATTGAACAGTCGCAAACAAGCGCATGATCATTTTTGTGATTTTTTTCCCTTGAATGAATTAGAGAATTATGATTACAAATTGATAAACTAAAATCAAGCAGCTCATTAAGTTTTGGGAGAAAACTAGTTCCAAGGTTTTTAACCAATGATTTTTGGCAACAACAAAAAAAAGGATAATGATTTCATATCCGTTTGTCATTGAGTTGTTGTTGTTGTTGTTGGATTGAAATTTGAACAAAAAGTGTCATTCAAAATGTTTTTTTTCTAATTTTTTGTTTTCATTTTTTCAAAATAGGCTTTTCATTTTGATCGTGAAGATGTTGCCTTGCCTGGATTTCGTAAATTTTTCGATGAATCCAGCAAAGAAGAACGTGAACATGCTGAAAGATTGATGAAATTTCAAAATCAACGTGGTGGTCGTATTTTATTGCATGATATTCCTAAACCAGTGAAACAAGATTGGACATCCGGTTTAGAAGCAATGGAAGCTGCATTAGAATTGGAAAAAACTGTTAATCAATCATTATTGGATTTACATGGTGTTGCTACTAAAAATAGTGATGTACAATTTGCTGATTTTTTGGAAACACATTATCTAACTGAACAAGTTGAAGCAATTAAAAAATTGGCCGATTATGTTACACAATTACGTCGTTGTGGTCCTGGTTTAGGTGAATATCTTTTCGATAAACATACCTTACAAGGACAATCATAAATGGAACTTGATAAACAAAATATCATTATCGAACATCTGCGAAGCAAATTTTAAAAAAATCAATCAATCCGTAGTATATATGAACATCCTCATCATCATAAATGATGAAAAATTCAAGTTTCTTTTTTTTTCTTTAAATGTTTTTTTTCTTATTTTGTTAAATCCAGATTTGAATAATATCATTCGATAGTTGATAATAATGATGATATTTTAAAAAAATAAATAAATTTCTTTGAAAAAGATTTTGTTTGTTTTTTAATGTTTCGACTTTCATCGACAACATGATGGAATAAATCGTGAATTCGTTGAAATACATGGCATCAATGATGTAAGGCAAAAATTTCCAAATGATTGTTGTTGATGTTGATGTTGTTGTTGTTTACCACGATACATTTCTTCAATATACTGACAAAAACATTTTGCCTGTCTACAATGTCTTGGTGGTATATCAGTTTGTATGGCCAATGTTATTGGCTGATCGGTATTATTTGATTGTTGTGATTGTTGTTGTATTGGTGGCTGTGATTGTTGTTGTTGTTGTTCCGGTTGTGGTTGAATGATTGACAATGACATACGTTGACGACCATATTCCCGGATCCAACGTTGTGAATAACGAAATAAAAGTTTTTCCGCTTGTTTCTTGATTATTGACAAACGATAGAAAGATTATTCAAATTATCATTTGAGTAGAAAAAAATAATAAACATACTTCTTTTTGTGAAATTTGCCGTGTACCATTCGAACCGGTAATATAAATATTATCACCATTATCAACAAACGTTTCATCATCATTTAAAATCGATGTATCGATTGTTGTTGTTTGTCGATTGTTTTGCTGTATGGTTTTGTTGTTGTCATTGTTTTTTAGCATATCTTGTAAAAATTTCTATTTAAAAAAATAAAATTCCTCACCAGTTAATCACGAATTACAATTCCGCATACTTACAATACAATATTTTGTATCAAAATAGACAAAAATTAAATTAATTTTATGACAACTAAAATGTCCACGATCATCAATGCCAAGAAATATATTATGACGACCAAATATGGTATTTACCTGTGCTATACATTCTTCAAGCATTCGATATAGCTTTTTTTTATTTGAAAAAGAAAAAACAATATTAATCATCATTTCATTGATTCATAATCATCTTACCCTTGATTTAATAAAAATAACTAAAAATATACCCAATGCATTTAATATTAGCCAAAAAATTCCGGATAAAAATACTGATAAACCTTTTGTACTTGATGCTAATATACCTAATAAAATTATAATGCTTAACGTTAACCAAATGGCCAATATTCTTTTATGTAATGTTATATATAAATGAAAACGATAATCACTAAGTAAAATACTCATTGTTGAAACATAATCTTCAACAGTTAACTAGGTAAGTAAAATGAATGAATGAATAATTAATTTGATTTGATTTTTTTCTTTTACTGAAATGATAATTACTTACAGTTAATGGCTGTGCCATTAATTCTTCCGGTACAAGATGTGCTTTAAATGTTGCCGGTGTTAACCATGCACAATTATCATTCAATGGATATAATGTAACAATAATATCTCCATTACCTGGTTGTTTTTTTTTGGAAATTTTAAATTTCAAAAATGACCAAGAATTCATTTGGACTTACTGAAACCAGATTTTGGATTATGATTTGATGAATGATGATTTGATTTTAAACTATTACTACTACCGGCAACAATATTGGTATCGTTGACTTTATCACCACTGCCACCACCATTATTATTATTATTAACCTGAAGAACATGATGATTAGCTGAAAGTTCAATTGTAGCAAATTGTTGCGATGGTTGTTGTTGTTGACTTTTATCAATCAAATCCGAAGAATTTGTTGATTTTATTGCACGTTCCTGGAGATTATCATCATGATCATCAACTTTGTCACTATTTATCGTTGAATCGTTCGTTGTTAAAGATGATGATTGATTAATCTGTTGTTGTTGTTGTTCATTTGATGATTGTTCATCAAATCGAACCCAAGAATTATTATTATTATTTGTTTCAATTTTTCTATCCATTTCTTCCATTGAAGATTTTACAGGTTGCTGTTGCTGTATTTCACTCAAAGGATCCATTGCATCCATATTTTGAAAAAATTAACAAATTTTTTATTTTTCAACCAAAACACTTGTTGCACTTTAATCACCAAGCACACTGTAATCAAATATGAATGTTTTTCTCTGATTTTTTGTTTTGTTGTTTTGGGATGCTTGTAGTGGTGGATCGTGGTAAAGATGATGATGATAATGATTAAAATACTCTTTTTTTTCATTGAATCATCCAATGAAATATCCAACCAACCAACCAACCGATTAACTAACCAGCCAAACAGCTTTATGTTTTTTCAGGAATTCAATCGATTCTTTCATCACACAGACACAACACAGCACTTACAACATCAACGTTGTTCAATGTTAATGATGATACAGATGAAAAAGTTGCAAGCATCAAACAGGTAGCCAGCCTATTTTGGCTATGTGTGTGTTAATTAAACTGATTGCCCACTTTTTTTGTTCCTATATATTTATTTGGTTACAGCAATGATGGAAATTTAAAAAAAAAGATAACAAAATTCAACAAAGGTAGCAGGATGGAAAACGAAGGAATAGAATCCATTTAGAAAGCATCTAACCTTGAATGTATGCGCTATATGTATACGCATAGAGAAACAGGCAATAAAACAAAACTAAAAATTCAAGTTTGGTAAGTATGTGTGTGGCTGTGATTGGATGGATAAAGTATTCAATTGACTGCTGTATCATTTTTTTTTGTTGTTGTTATTGTTGACCGTGTTAATAATACCGTTGACCTAACTTAAATTGAATAAAATCCAGTTTTTGTTTTTTTTTTCGTTGAAAATTATCTTGAAAATTGTCAAGCCGAAAACAAAACAAAAAAAAAATCACGACAAAAATGACAAAATTATGAACCGGGTAATGCACCTGGAGAAAATTAAATTTTCTCTTCAAATTGATTCAAGCGAAACAAAACTAAAACCAAAAAAAAAATTCAAATTTAGCGCGCTAAACAATTTTCAGGCCGATTATTGTCTCCTCGTCGAGGTTGATATAGTCGCTTGTTTAGAAAAGAAGAACGAAAAAACACACACATCATCGATTTGTTCAGCTGTTGTTTATTCGAATTCTTTCTCTTTAATTCATTTTATTTGTAAATTTAAAAAAAATTTCTTTCTTTTAATAAACAACAAAAATGATTCCATATGATGCCATTCTTATTGTTCTTATATCATCATTTACAGCCTTATTGGGTGAAGGTTTGTTTTTGTTTTGTTTTGTGTAAAAAATATGTAATTCTGATTTCAATCAATCAAAATTAGGTTTAACATGGCTTCTTGTTTATCGAACGGAAAAATATAAAAAATTAAAAAATGAAGTGGAGAAACGATGTAAAAAATGTAAGAATTTCGTTATTATTTTTTTGATGATTTCATCCATTTCTAAAAAAATTTTTTCCATAGTGGAAAAGAAAAAAGAAACAATGGGTGAAACAAGTGATCGTCAACAAAAAAAGAAACTGGAACGTGAAGAAGAAAAGCTAAAAAATCATAATCGTGATCTTTCAATGGTCAAAATGAAATCAATGTTTGCTATCGGTATTACATTTACAGCATTATTATCTATGTTTAATAGCATGTAAGTTTTTTTCCATTGTTTTTTGTTTTGTAATTTCTTTAAATATTCTTCTATGTTTAGTTTTGATGGTAGAGTTGTAGCAAAATTACCATTCATACCAATATCATGGGTACAAGGTCTTTCACATCGTAATCTACCTGGTAATGATTTTACCGATTGTTCTTTTATATTTCTTTATATATTATGTACAATGTCTATAAGACAAAATATACAAAAAATTCTTGGTTTTGCACCATCACGATCAGCGAATCAACAAACTGGTACAATATTTGGACCAATGCCCAATAAATAAATCAAATATTCAATAATCATCATTCTTTTTTAATTGTAGAAAATAAAAATTTAATTAACAAAAAAAACAAAATTAACTAATTTAATATTGATAAGCTTCTTTTAATGGTTGATTGTTGAATAAACGTTCCCAGCTAAATGCACGTAAATCGATTGTTTGATATTGTGAATTTAATAAAAATTCCATCATAGCACGACCAATTGCCGGTGACATTTGTACACCTAAACCACCAAATCCAGTTGCCCAAATAAGATTTTTAAAAAATGGATCCTGTCCAATTAATGGATTTTGATCGATACGATTATAATCAATATAACCGGCCCAAGCGCCTTTTAATTTGATATCCGATTCGAATGGTTCTACCCGATGTTTTAATAATGGTAATATTCGACGATCAAAATAAGAATAATCAACATCAAGTGTATCGATATCAGGTTCTTCATCATTGGATGGTGATCTACCACAGATAAAATTTCCACCAAGACCTTCACGTCGACAATAAGTACCGGTTGTATCAATTAGAAATGGAAAATTTAATCCCGGTCCATCTTTACTATTGAATGCATAAACATAACGTTTTCTTGGTTCGATTGGAAAATTTACAGCTGAACGCCAATCATTAACATTTTCACCATAACCTAAAAATTTAGCTATTTTATGTGATTCATAACCGGTTGCAATAACACCTAAACCAAATTCAACATGACGAACATTACCATCTGGTTCACGAACAACTACATAATTACAAGTTGTTTGTTCATAATGATAATCATAATTGAAATTAAAATCCAATATTTCTGCATTAACAAATTCAGTGCCAAAAAATTGAGCTTTAGCTTTGAATGCTACCAACAATGCTAATGGATCAAACCATCCTTCATTTTGTACACCATATGAACCAAGAACAATACCATCAGTATTGATCATTGGAAATTTTTCCTTTAATCTTTCGGCCGTATATAATTCGACTAATGTTCCCATTTCGATTTGTTTTTGATGATTTCTTATTAATTGTTCGGCTTGTGATTCATCGGCTAATGTAAGAAAACCTTGTGGATGATAATTAAGATCCGGTGGTTCACCATCCAATATACTCAAATGTTTTCGTGCATTTCGAATAAATTCAGCTGAATATTGTGCCATAAGAATATTTTCTTCCAATGAAAATTGTTGACGTAAACCACCGGTACTTAATGCTGTTGAACATCTTGTAAACTAACAAAAAAAAATTCATTATAAAATACAAAAAAAAAATGATTCAGATAAGCCACTTACACTAGGATCTCTTTCAATCACAGCAATTTTATAACCGAAAGGTGCTTTTTCCTTAAGAAAATAAGCAATAGCCGTACCGATAATACCACCACCAAATATACAAATATCAACATGATTTGGACAACCAAGTTCTTCACGTGTTTTATGTATACGTCCTTTAGTCAATATTGATATATCTTCTTTAACAATATTTTTTGCACGTTTAAAACCTAAATATTTTGTAAAATATTGTGGATATTTATATGTCATAAATTCATTACTATAATAAGGATCATTCATTGGATTGTATGGAACACCATCCGGACCAATATTTACAGCATTATTATCAGCATCTTTATCTTTTATACCATAAACATTTTCATGATCTTTAAGTACGACAATTTTTCGTGGTTCAAGTTTTTCTTTTTGTTTTGGTTTTTCTATTACTTTATCGGATTGTTTGGTTGTTGGAAGATTGTTTGTATCATCATCACCAGATGATGATGATGATGATGATGATGAGGAAAAATTTCGATAATATAATTGCCTAGTTGTTGATGATGATGATGATAATGAGATTTGAAATATTTTTCTTGGAAAATGATACGATTTTTTAATTAAACCATTCATGATTGAATGAAATGTGATTTATTTTGATTTCGGTTCGATTCGAACATCTGTGTTTTTTTATTTCACCATGATAGCTACGCCATCTTTCGAGCAAAAATCCTACTACCAAAAAAAAAATGTTCGAAACCATTTTTTTGGATTTTTTGAAATTTGCAAAAAATTTGCGAAAAAAAAATCAAAATTTTTGAAAAAAATAGTCCAAGTTTCTCATCTGCGAATCATTCATTTCATTAACGACAAATCGATCCATCAACTGACTACATTGAAAACAGGAATCAACAAGTTTTCCTTTCTTTCAGTTCCTTCAGATTTCAAAAATTTATTTCCGAAATCAAAAAAAAAATCCATTACAAATCAATGAAATTTTTATGTAATGGAAAATTTTTTAAAACTGAACATTTTGTCTGAGACTATATTGGATATTGGATATTGATGAACTTCATCACTGGGGAAAAAAAACTTGTTGATAAAATCAATTCAATCGTTGTTCATTGAAGTATACGAAAGAGAAAGGAACAACAAAAAAATCGCTACATTTACACCATACATATGCTACAAATATTGTGTTTAGTATCCAGTCTTGTCTTGTTTTTTGTGTTTTGTGAATATCATTTTTGCCACACACCAAACCATATCATCAGCCATAATATCATACAGCCATATACACACATTTCACCACCATTTAACGTGAATGTTTTGAGCCAAAAATTTTTTGTTTTTGAAAAACAACGAAATCGAATGACAAAGCCAAGTGATATACAGGATTTTTTGCCTTGTGATAATGTCCTTAAACAAGTGGTGAAAGATATCAATATTGATGATTATCATGATGATATTTGAACAAAAAAAAACATTCGTAATTTCGACAATCATCATTATAAATATCATCAACATTCAAACAAAACAAAAGTAAACTAAAGAATTGATTTTTACCTCTGATGATGGAATTGAATTCTTCTTTTTTCGTTTGATTTCAAGTGTTATTTGTGTCAATTTAGTCTTGTGATTTTTTTGATCTTTGATTCTTTCGAAATATCGAATGATAATATATTGATTTTATCAAAAAATCAAATTGATTGATTGATCAACGATCAAAGCCATTATCATTTGGAAAATTTTTTCTTGTTTTTGTTCGAGGTCAACGATTATAAACAAACATTTTGGCACGATAATCCGTTTTTTTTTGTTTAAATATTGCATTTGATCCAAAGTACAGCACTCAGCTTAAATCAATTTTTGTTTAAAACTTACCCGACAAACGTTGGATTCAAAAAAGACAAACAATGACGATTCCGGAGGAAAACAAAACGAAACAGCAGCAGCAGCAATCCGATGAAGACAATGAAGAGAATGTTCCCATTCTTGGCTATTGGAACATTCGTGGTGTAATTAAATTCTAATTTGAAATTTTTGTTTTTTTTTCTAATTAAAAAAAATGTAAATATCAAATTAATAGAATGCCCAACCAATACGGTTATTGTTACATTATACAAAAACTCGTTACAAGGAAAAAAGTTATAATTTTGGTAAATGTGATCAAGATAAAATAATATGGCGTTCATCGAAATTTAATCTGGAATTAGATTTTCCAAATGTATGTTTTTGATTTGTTTATCTTGTTTTCGAAAAGTATCGATGTCTCATTGATTTTTTCTTTCATTGATTTTTTCATTGTTTTCGATTGATTTTCGGTAGCTACCATACTATATTGAAGGTAATTTAAAATTAACACAAAGTTTAACAATATTACGTTATTTGGCAAAAAAACATAATCTAGCTGGACAATCGGAAAAAGAACGTACCCGAATAGATTTATTGGAACAACAATTACGTGATTATCGTAATGAATTTATTGAAGCATCAACAAATAAAAATTTTGAAAAAGCTCGGTTAATTTATTTAGCAAGATTACCGGATAAACTTCGTTCATTATCAGCATTTTTAAAAGAACGACCATTTTTTTGTGGTAATTCATTATCATATGTTGATTTTATGGCTTATGAATATATTGATCAACATCATTATTTGTATCATGAACTGTTTGAACAATATGGTTGTCAAAATTTAATTGAATATTTAAAACGTATTGAACAATTACCAACAATTAAAGAATATCAATATTCACAGGAATATATTCGTCATCCATCCGGTTTATTAATAGCATGGTATGAAGCAAAATTTTTTTCCACATTTAATCGTTCGGTTAGTGATAAACCAACTGAACAATTGGAACAAGAAATTCATGATACAACTATATCATCATCGGATGCTGAACAAGATATGTATATGGTTTGATTGATTCAATCAAACCATACAAAACAAATTGGTAAACATTTTTGAATTAAAAAAAATACCAAAAAAAAAACATTTTAGAAACACAAGAAAATAATTTAAAACAAAAATGATTTTATAATTAAAATTCACACACATAACATTTATGAAAACAATATGTATCACCCCCACCAACATTCGATTCTATTTTAACCTAAATTGCTATCTATCTAATTTGTTTTACTCATTACCTAATTTCTGGTTTTGATTCTTTTCATTTTGGTTTTCTGGGCAAAAAAACGAAGAATAAATTCAGTTTTCTTTCTTTTTTTGAGTTATAATCACACTTGTATGTTTCCTTGATGGTTCAAGTGGTGACCATTATCTTTTTTTTTGTTTTGTTTTGTGAAATTTAGTTCATCGATAAGAACCATAAGACGAAAAATGGGAAAGCATTTATACGAATGAATATAATGTTTTTTTTTCAGGCTGTATTTTGCCTTGAGCATTCTTTTCTCCAATTTATGTTATTATTCATCTTGATGATGATGATGATTGTCGAAACGAATTGTCGTTTTTTTCTTCTTCTTTTACTTTACGAAGGTCGACGTTTAGGTTCGACGACGAACAATTCTTCTTCATTCTTTTCATTTCTCTAAAGAATGACCCAAGTGGCTATTTTACTCTCTGTACATATAAAAGATATGTGTGATTGTGTTATGGTGTGTTTCTTTGTACGAACGTGTTTTTTTTTGTATGAATTGGTAATCAAATTTGGCAGAAAAAAAAATTTTTGAAAATCAACTTTTATAATGGCGTTGTTCAAAAAAGATTGTTGTTGAGGAGGGGAGTTTCTTATTTCTTTTTTACTTTTTTTGATTTAGATTTTTGTCCAGAGTGCATACAATGAAGGACAAATTACATAAATTGAAGTCAAAATCGTCGTTTTTTTCGATCTATAACATAAGGGAGAGTAAGAGAAAATATAAATGACCATCATGATCACCATTGGAAAACCAATTGGTAAATTTTCATTTTTAAAAACTAATTTTACTTACATTTTTTGTTTGTTGGGTACTTTTTTTCGTATTTTTGGAAATTTTACACGCTCAAAATTCACGCATTGGTCATCATGATCGTTATTAGATCTAAAATTCTAATCAAATCGATTAGATTTAGATCGATTCATTGTGTGATTGAAAAAATTTTTCTAAAAAAAAATTTTGAAAAAAATTGAGGTCAACTTGTTGCACAAACAAACAAACAAAACA